ACGAAAACGGAGAAAGCGATTTAAATATTTCTGAATTTTATTCTAGTCTTTTTTTAAATCAACATATTAAATATTCTAAAATTAAATAATTCGATTAATTAATTAGTTGAAATAAAAATACAGTGTACAGTATTTTTTTATATTTCTACATCAGAATGGACATGTAAAGTATAAAATCATTTGAAATCATGTTTAATTAACACAAAGAGCACACACACAGAGTCTAAGACTCAATAATTAACAAATTAAAAACATGTAATATAATAGGCTACAAGCCTATAAGTTAGCTGTTTAATGCTCCAATATGTGTATATAAAGTCGGTTATAAAACAATAATAGTAAATAAACGTTTCGGCTTTTATCAGATCATTTTCAACGTTCGCATAATTTAAATAAAACGCATTAAATTAAATAATATGGCTAAACGTCAGTTGAGTTTTAAAATGTAAAATTACTTCTATAAATTATAAATTACGAAATACAAATTTCGGATTAATTTGTAGAAGTAATTTCACATCATCTTAGAGCTCAACTAGCATTTAAATGTATTATTTAATTTAATACGTTTTATTTAAATTATGCGAATGTTGAAAATGACCTGATAAAGGATCGAAATGTTTGTTTACTATTATTTTAACAAAGATCAAATATAGAAGACAATGTTGAACAATCAAAGATGATAAATGCTGCAGATTCACAGCCTATTTAGGAAGATATAGAACCGTAAGCATCATTGACCTTAATAATTACTGAAATGTTAAAATAATTATGCAAAATTAAATCAATATTTACACATGTTTTATTTACCTTGGTTTATTTATATAAATGAATTATAAAGGATTATATAAATTTCAAAGGAGATATTTAATATTTAAAGCTATTTAATATCTATATATTAATACATAATACATTTTAATACAAATTTAATACCTATGTATTAAGACGAATATTAAATTTATTTATTATCACCCTTAGGCCGGAGGTGCACCGGAGAGGATATCGGGTAGAAGTACAACCCCCCTCAATCACCCCGGCACACTGCCCGCCAGCGCGCCCGCTCGCATATCGCTCGTCCCGCCTCGCGACAAAATGGGCACTTACGACACGCATCCACGTTTATTCGTTCGTGATCGGCGGATTGGCGCGAACATCTCGACGCGCGTGGAGTTTAATTAAATGATTGAATGACTGATTGAAAAATGACTTCTAGTTATATTATATATTTTTATTCTGAAGCCATTTTGATGCGATTTTCATGTCAAGATAATTTGTGCTCTGGGTATATAATAACACATTTAAATATTAACGTGAAATATAAATACATTTTATAAGTATTTAAGGCACATCATGTATTTTAGTGTATTTTGAAAAATTTTCTCAAAATCATATATATCGTTTTTGAACAGTGAATCTTAAAATTTATTATTCATTATCGCATCGTATTCGAATTTTTTGATGGTTAAATGTGTATAGTTTTATCGCCACTGCTTAAACGTGAAATAAAATGTCACAGTTGCTGAGATCAATCATTTCCAGTTTAGGACAGCTCACAAAAAGTAAGTGACATATTTCAGTTGTCTATAAAGTTGTCTCCGTGCTTGACAAGTCTAACTGTTTTAATTTTTTGCAATGCTCTCAAATCACGTTCGGTGAGATTTTCACAATCGGTCAGAATTTTTTCCAAATATTGACAGGAGGAAAGCAACCTATGTAAGCTATCGCCAATTTCGTCGTCCCTGTAAATGAAAAATATATTATATCAACCCTTCAATCAACAAACAGAAAAACGCAGCTGTTTCAAGTACAAGAGAAACAAACATCATTGCCAATTCATAGTTGGCGAGTCTTAAGTTTGATTTTTCATTCCATAAATGGATTTTAAATTCATATTTTAAAAGCGCATAATAAGACACACGTATTTTAAAAAATTATGCACATATGTACCTCCAAAATGTACTAAAAGTCACTTCTCGTAAATTCTTGCAGCCAGCGAGGGCATCAATACCTGACGGTATAATATAGATTCCCCATGAATCTATACTTTCCAAATCTGGACATGAGTTTTTCAATACCATTGCAACTACATGTACGTCCAAACCGGAAACCCTTCCTACGTGCAAGTGACGCATCCGTGGATTTCTTTGCAGTATATTGCAAAGAGTTTGAGTTTTTATATGTGTTGAGCGCAAATCTAAACGCTCGAGAAACTCTAAATTTTCAAGATATGAGAATCCCTTATCCTTTATCCAGTCACATCTATGCAGACCCAATTCTAAGAAAAATATACGTACGAAAAATATACGATCATATAATTGACTTATAATCATAATAATCATTTATATACATCATTTGTATACATACCTTTCATATTTTTGCATATCTTCGAGATTTTAAACATGGTGGAGTCGTCGATATGTGAGCAGCAATTTAATCGTAAGTGTGTTAAGAGACTACCGCAAGTATCAAGAAATTTTTCAAAATCCGAGACAGAAAATCCGTTACACCATGAAAGATCCAATCGTCGTAAATATTTACATCTAGGTGCTAAGTAACACAATGCCTCTGCATTAATAATGTGCCAATATGGTTTTAAGTTCAAACTTGTGTAAAGCAGAGGATCCTGTGTTAAGTTATTGAAATGTTTATTCACTCTGTTTAAGCGGCATAACGACTTGAAATCTAAGTAGCTTAATATTATTATCATTATTTCATCCTGCAAGGTATAATATGAAATTTTAATAAATGGAATAAAACGTAACAATAAATATCATTATGAGTAAGAAAGACTTCTTCGTATAGTTTACAGGAAATTCAGAAAAACTGCCACGTGGTAGCTTCTTGGATTCATCTAAAGAGACATCTTTCAACGTTGGAAGTTTTTCGGATAAGAAATCCTGCATACGCCTATTAGACGCCTCTTGAGGTAATCCTAGCTGAGACGCTGGTTTGCTCTCGTGAAAATTCGCTACCACATCACTACAAATAACATTCATACAAACTTACTTTAATTATTAAAAAAATAAAAATAAATAAATATCACTTAACATTGACAAATCGCAATACCTTTGACACATAATGCAATATTTGTTCAATGTCCTTTTAAGATGGTTTATATCTGATTGTGAGTGTGCGTTTATATAATCATAATCGCAAGATTCATAATCTGGTGTCAAATTATGGATGTCTTCATGGCAAGGATACTTATCGTTAAAGCTCTTCAATAGACTGGTTAAATTCTGTTTGTGAGACTGATCTTTAGGAATTATTAATGTTTCTGTACCGGTAAGCAATACACGACGTAGCTCTGTGTAACGGTTCAATAAACTGTGGTTAAACTCTAGTCTGACCATATTGGTACTAAAGTTACATGGTTGTAAAGGCGGGGAAAATATCCGTGATGTCGATGAAACAATCTGAGGTGGTCCATTCCACAAGAGAAACCACCGATTTTCAGAATCTTGTGCCCAAATTCGAATTATACTCCCAGGATTAGACTGCTCGTATATAGAAACTCGGATTGGAAATACAGTTTCATCAAACCTGATATCTTTAAAATAGAAAATATAATTATAATCTCTCCCTTCAACAGAAACAGATCTTTTTAAACCTCTTACTTATTACAATTTAAGTATTACCGATATAATCTTGGCTCACAACATCTGTATTATTCTGTGGCATGTAATCAATTGCTCTCGAGGGTGTTTTGGCCCACCATGGTCGACCAGTTACCTGTATTTAAAAAAAATTCAAAAAGTGTCAAATACTATAAAATTTGATGATTGTATTAAATTGCTATTATTAGGAGTTATATTTAGTTCATGAATTTCATATTCTATGTTAATTCTTATCACATTTATTTATTATTGATTTTATAAAAAGTTGCTTAAAAAGTTACGAATAAAGGAATGAGATAACCATTTCAAAATTCCATACTTGAGACAGTTTATAATCGCCTTCTAGACAATAACATTATGATGCAAAGATACATACAAAGAAAAATGAACATAAAATAGTTTCTTCAAGTATATGAATTTCATTTTCCGCTTTATTAGCGCCATAATTATGGCTGCAAGCTGTGCCACGCAGAAAACTAGAGCTGTATATTTGTTCCATACATTGGTGGATAAAGTTAACGTGATTTCCCTCGCCTATAGGTACTCTTTCAAAATATGCATTGTCTCTGATATTATCAAAAGGATAATCCATATTCCTACTCTAAGACAAAAAAAATTGATTATTAATATATATATCTTTCTTACGGTATGTGCTGCATATTTTAATAATATATAGCTATTATACTGTAAAAATTACTTATAGAGCCTCTTGCAGCAATAATCTTCGGTAACCGCACAAGTAAATATCGTTTTTACGTCAGACGTAAAAACAAGATATTAAACAATTGAACGTTTCAAACGTCAACGTACCATAGTAAACCAAAAATCTTACCAACTGAGAAAAGTAAAATTATTTAGCATTGGCAAGTTGGTCGCGACCGGTGTTACGAGTTCTGATTGGACATTCAACGGCATTTTTAATATTTTCTAGTACTATTGCGAGACTGCCATAAGCCAGTCATCCGCTAGCTGCTGAGCGTTATCTGTCACACTTCGCGCTGCTTCGCGCTTTACTCGGAAGTAAACATCAGTAAACATGGCAAAGTTATTGGGGTTGGATAAACTCGCGACCTTATTCCGTGCGATACGCGACCATGGTGGTATTATCGGTTCCGTCAAGACGTTGTTCAGGTACTTGGGCGGTCACACGTTGTATTAGCAATACAGCGAACGTTCCGAAATGCTACCACTGTCATTTAGGCATTGTGTAACTCTGCGCTATTTTTGCGCTTGAGCTCGGTTGAAATTTTACTGATGTATCACAGGCACTTCTGCAGATCAATCTTTTTCAATATAAATTAATATAACTACAACAGCAAACCGATTTCACAGGGTGGATGAGCTGAAGAGCGGTACCTTGATCGGAGAAGACAAGTATGGAAATCGATATTATGAGAACAACACGCATTTTGTAGGTCAGTTCAAATTAAATACATTATACTATAGTACAAGTACGAATATCAGATCTACGAGTATGAATGTCTACATACATCGAGTCGTTTTTACCAATCCATTTTGTTGAATTTCTAAAAGATGTATGATGTCAAAGAAATATAGATGCTTGTTCATTAATATCGTGTCTACTCATTCTTTATAGGTCGTAACAGATGGGTGATATATGCAGAGAAAGTTGGATTTAATTACGATGGTTCCCAAGTCCCAGCCGAGTGGTACGGTTGGTTGCATTACAAGACAGATTTGCCACCGCACAAAGACCCGTCCCGACCAAAGTACAAGTGGATGATCGACCATCAACCAAATATGAGCGGCACTGATAAAGCTTACATGCCCTACAGCACCACGAGACCAAAAATCGAACCTTGGAGGCCATCCCAGTGACAAGCTTCGTTGTAGAGACAACGAAGTGAGAGGCATAAAGAATAAAACAGCTGATTCATAACGATAGTGAAATATTAATAAAATATTATTCAGTGTAAATAGTTACTATCAAGATAAAAGGATTATTGATGTTTTAAGAAATGAATTTTTATTTGTCCTTTTTTTTTATTGGTTTGCAGCATGGTAACGTCGGCGGTAATAAAATAAAGATATGATTTTAGTAACTATAAGTATAACATTTAATTAATTTCCAATTTTGAAACACATAAGGAACAATAAAAGCATCTATATACATATTTTTTAAATATTTATTTAGATTTTATTGGACTAGGCCAATACTGCACTATACTGATTTCATTTGTTTTACTGACTTCTCTTGAACACTATTCATGCACTGCTTCAGGTATTCAATACGTTTTTTAATATTGTCCTGTACACTGAAGTTTTCATAAGAAACTGTTATGATCTCGTATCCTCTGGCTTTTAACAATTGTGTGTATAAATATATCGATCCTACGAGATCGTTCTGTCCTATGCAATAATCATGGTAATCGAGCACCATTATTGCTATCCTGAAATAATCACATGATTATCAAATTTATGTTTCGTTGAATCGTAACGAACATAATGATTAAATTTATATTACGTTTAATGTTGAAATTAACGTAAAAAATGTTTATTATTTTGAAAAATAAGTTCATATATCTTAACTTTTATTAAATTACAAAATTTTCATTGTTTTACTGTTGAAAACAAAATTAATGTGTAGCTTTTTGAATTATATAATTCAACACGTACCTTTGTACATTATTCGACTGTTCATTCCAATCTTCCACTTTTACAAATTTATATTCGTCATTTATGCGATATTCTGCATCTAAAAATAATCAAATATTCTTTTATTCAACAAAATATTACAATACTTACTCCAAATTTTATTTTGTTAAAAAGAATGAATTAATACCAATATACAATTTTGCAGAGTTTATTTAGATACCAATTCATGTTTATTCACGTATAAATGAAATGTAGCACTTAACGTAATAATTTTTTTCACGCATCTGCAATTTCAAAATCGAACTCTACGATATTATATTGGTATTAATTTTTTATTTATTAAAAAGATTTACCTAACAAAAAGCCCATGTTCGTATCAATATTTGTTTCAAAATAAGACGAAGATGGTAATATTTCCGTTAATGTTTCCAACAATGCATTTATGTACATTTGCTTTTCCTTTGATCTAAATATAGATACATTGTTAAATTCTGCATCTTCCGGTAAAAAAGGTCCTGTAATTTAAAACAATAATAATACTTAGAATTGTTAAAAGTGTATGAATACATCCGTTTTCGAATATATACCTTCATAATCCTTCAGTATAAACTGTGCAACGGCATTGATATTTAATAATTTTAACATTTTCGATACACTCAGCTGTTTAGAGCCTGTATAAACATAATAAGAAATTAATATTATTAATAAAGTGGCAATGAATCTTAGGATTCATAGAACAGTATTTAACAATAGATACAAACTGTTTAATTGTTTTACAAATTTAGGATCCAGCACGAATTCTGCATGTTTTGGTTGCATTTCATCTAAAGCTGCTAAGGACCAAACAATATCCAACCATTCAAGCAAAGACGTTTGATGTGGGCTTGCATGTTGTACAAATTTCTAATTACAAAAATTAATAAATATGTATATTTGTATCAGGGAAAATGTAATTTTTCTTATGGTCTAAGAGAAAATGTTTAAAATGCGATGGAACATACATGGTATTTTCTCAATATACCTTGATAAACGAGTTTGCTTTCTGCGATTTAAATTGTAGAGCCGCAAACGTTTGTAGTATCGATGAATAATCCAGAAAGTTGTACTCCATCGAGTTCTTAAAGAACGTGTTACAGAACGCATCAAGTAGATTCACATTCTTGTAACGCAGAAATCCGAGTGACGTTATTATGGATTTGTTTATAGCACAGTTGTTGTTTTCTGATATACATCCCAGTAAGTCAGATGTGATTTTTTCCAACAAGATCTATTGCACACGTTATTTACAAATTTGATAGGATCTTTTTTTCTTTTATATATAGGTACATATATATATATATATGACTCAATATAATATGAAGTGCATACCTTGTCTGGAAAATTGAGTACAGCCATGCTGTATAACAAAGTCGCGCACTGTTTTACATCCAATGCCGTGTTGTACTTCACAATATTGTAGGACAGCATCTTTAATAGCGGAGTATTTCTCTTTCCTTGTTCCCTCAACGACGCTATCACCTTCGTCATATAAAAATACATAAATACATACATTCAACATACAAACGTCGTGCCTACTGTAATTACAGATAATTGTAGCGTTGCACGGATTCTCGTGTAAAGATACATTAATGTTCAAGCATATTAAAAATGTACAAATGTCATACTCACTGCAATCATTGCAGGCGTAGATAACTGGGAGTATTTTAACAGATTACTCGATGTCTCTTTTAAATTGCCCTGAATTAATTTCTTCAGATGAACAAACCTTCCGTCAGCCTCGACGTCTTGTGTCTGCGCTTTCCCACTGTTTATCTGATTAGTTATGCTCGATAGCACCTTCAGGGCATCACTTTTGGGCAGGTTTGGCAATACTGCCAAGTTCAGCAAGTCATTTATAGACGTGGCGGCTTGAAATTGTTTAGAAAATACTGTATTGCCGTTACTCGACCGTATACTGCTGTCGTCACTCTCTTTTGTCGTATTAATTATCGTCTGGACACTCTCCTTAGACTTATGCACCTCTTCCTTCTGCGAGACGGCTTGCGTACTTGAGAACTTAGCACTGTTGTCCTACAAAATAAACCACCGATAGTCTCTCTCTTTCTCGCCAAGAAGTTGCGTTAAAGTGCACGCATAGAAGAACGAGAAAGATAATTATCAGAGCTCGTCGAAGAAAAGAAATGATTAGGTCGCTGTCAACGGCACTTTACATTCTCAGACGCGGCGGGTTGCTCGCCGGTGGCCACCGTGCTGGAGTTGCAGGCCACGAGGGCGGTGAAACGCCAGGACGAGCGAGGCGTCAGCCTGGTGGTCGCGTTGTACAACATCGAGCTGAACTGCAGCATTGCCATTAATCTGCAAAATGGTTATTTATATAATATTTTCGCGATTGGGGACACTCGCCGACGACAGATACGAGCCCGTCGATTTCGCGTCACTCGCGCAAAATATTACGACGGCACGACCGCCGTATGCGACTTACGTGACTTACGAGCGGGTGTAAAGAAAAATAATTACCGCGAGAATAAATGATTATTGATAATTATCGTGAATTGTGTCAAGTTCGCATCAAATATATTGGGTACGACGGGTATGCATATTTAGGTTAGACGATCACCATGCACCCGGTCATGGATGAAGAGAAGTTCAGAGAGGTTCGAAACATTGCGAGTTCGAGATTTCGAGATAAAAATCGCGCCAGACGTGCTATTGTTTTCTAGCAAAATTTTTCGATTCGAAAATATTTAAAAAACAATTTTGTCGATAAACGTTGCAGCGAATATAATAATAATATCATGTACGATTTTATGAAATTACTCGAAAACGTGTGATCTAAAGAAAAATTTATGAAAATAAATTTAAAAAGTAGTCTAAACAAAAATATCTCTCAGAGCTCTAGATTTCCAACCCAGAAATTAATTCTTAATTTTTTTCATTATCTTTATGTATTATATATAATTATATATTATATATATATATAATACATCTTTATATTATATTATATATAATATATTTTTTATCATATTTTTATTATTATAATTTCTTCATTTTGAGTGAAACTTGACAAGGATTTTTATGTATGAAATTTATTTCTGCTCTATTTTCTTTACATTTGTAAAATAAAACAGATATTATATGTTTTGCATGAGTTATTTATATATATATATATACATATATATATATATATATATATATATATATAATTATATATTATTCTATTTTATTTTAAAGTACTTCGTAATGCAATTACAGTATATAGATGCAAGGGACAACTGATAAGAAATACTTTAGAACATTTCAGAGTTTCTCAGGGGTCCACTGTCGTCAAATCACTGCACTGTGCTGACGACAGAGAGTAGGATACTTATATTTCACGCATGGTGCACATGATGTATCATTTTACATCCTTGATGTATCCTTGTTTAACATTCGATGAGCAACAAGAATAAAATGACACATCGTGCGTTTCACGCGTGAAACGGAACGCAGTCCAGATGACAGTCAAACAGATTGCATAAGCAACCTCGAGTCATTCGATTGTGGCGCAGCCGACAGCAAGTGCCAGTCGTATACGAGATACAATACGTACGGTACGTGCAAGTCGCGCTGATCAGCGGGCGTGAATTATTTACGAGCAGGTGCATCAGAGACGCGAATCAGCTGATCAGCCATGTGTTCCGCGAGGACGCCGCGCATTCTCTCGATCCAGAGTCACGTAGTATCGGGATACGTCGGCAACAAGAGCGCTACTTTCCCGTTGCAGGTGAATTCCGTGGAAGAATCTATAGCTCGTGACTTTTTCCTCTCATCGAATTTCTCTCGATCTTTCGTCCCTTCAATCCGCGAATTTTTAGCGGCAAAACCGCGATAATCGCGATATCGCTAAATTATTTTTTCTTGCATAGATAACTATGTAAGCCACGTGGGGCATTAGAAATAAAATTTCAGATAAAATATACGAGCGTTAGAGATAAAATTCCAGATGAGATGCGAGCATTAGAGATAAAATTCCAGATAATAAGATGCGAGCATTACAGAGATAAAATTCCAAATGGCGAACATTATGCATATTATTATTTATATATATATTAGTTATTAACTTGATATCTTCTTGAGATCCTTTTTGATTTAAATATAATTGTAGCTATGTAAATAATTTGTTTTCGATAATCTACTGTTTAAAACAGCTTAGATTCTCAGTATAACAATTGAACAATTTTACACACTTGAAGCAAGTGAATTAAGAGATTTTGCATTTTTTAGTTATTAGGCTTTGAGGTCGATGCAATTAATTCAGTACAATTGTCCAATCATACTGGCTACAAAGCATTTAAGGGCCAAGTGCTCAATGATAAAGATTTAGGTAAGATTTTCATGGGAAGTAGATGATGCAATCATTTTTATTTTGAGCATCCAAATATATATAATATATATAAAGTCTACATAAATATATATGTAAATTCTTCTAATTATAATTACTGCTTCAGAGGATCTAGTTGATGGTCTAGCGCTAAATGACTTGGACAATTATACACATTTATTAACTGGATACATCGGTTCTGCCTCTTTCTTGAAAAGAGTGGCGTTATTAGTCACAATGTTGAAGGCCAAAAATCCAAATCTTACTTATGGTTCGTTATTTTTGAATTTTCATGCGACCAAATTTTTTTTCATGAATTACATTTAATTACACTTGTTCAATACTATAGTTTGCGATCCTGTTATGGGTGACAATGGCAAGTTGTATGTCCCAGAGGCGTTGAAAGAAATTTATAAAGAGGAGATAATACCGTTGGCAGATGTGGTAACTCCAAATCAATTTGAATTAGAGTATGTATGATATCCTAACGTACAACAACGTTATTAATTTTATATATTTTAAATCGATCAATTTCACAATTATATAAATTGCTAATCATTTTTAGAAATTACATATATTCTCATGATCATTTACGTATTGCTTTTTTTACGTTTTCAGATTACTCACAGATGAAAAAGTTACCAGTATGAGTGAACTGCAAAATGCGATTAAAAAATTGCATCATAATGGACCAAAAACTGTTGCCGTGTCGTCGACTGATCTTAGCGACAAATTGACGGCAGTAGTAAGCACGACGAAAGGTTGATTATGCATTGCAAGATAAGATAAATTTTGAAATGATTGTAGATTTGCATAACGTTTTTTTTTGTTTTCAGATAACACATTAATAAAAGTAGATATTCCAAAAATACCAGCGACTTTCACGGGTTCGGGAGATCTCTTTGCCGCATTATTTCTTGCTCACGTGTACCTGCAAAGCGACATGAAAGCCACCATGGAGAAAACTATAAATTCTTTATATAGCGTACTGCTTAATACGTACGAATATTCTAAAGGTAAATAATATATATATATATTTTTACAACGCGAAAAAATATGTCAGTATTATTGGCGTTATTGCTAACACAAATAATTGTTTGCAGTGTATGTCGAAGATATCGAAGCGCAACCGGCTAGAAAAATTGAGTTGCGACTCATACAAAGTAAAGACTGTATTGAAAACCCAAAAATTCGTCTATTTGCGGAATCCTTATAACATACATGAAATTATAGGAAATAGTGTTAAGGAAATGCTTACCAAAAAAATGTTGCTTACCAAAAATGTAGCCTTTTTAAATTTTGTGAGGCTATATATGTATATACATATATATATACATAGTTTATGAAAAATTTTATCTTAATGATAATTAATTACATGTTAAAGGTGCGACACATTTTAATAATTAAACATTTGTTAAAATGTAGCCTAGTACAAGAACGGCCGATTAAAGGTCGATGGATTCCGGGTTTAATTCCGATCCATATATACCGGTTTATAAGAAGCTGATTGAAGAATCAAAGATAGCGAATGAAAGAGTATGTATGTTGTGAATGATAACCCGTACTGGGAATCCATTTATCAACTACTTATGGCATGAACTAAACACTTGTTAAATAGCATTTACAATAACATGGAGATTTCTCCGATGATCAAACCCCAAAGAGACCAATGTATACGTCTTCCAAAATGTACACAACCAATTTACTTGAGTATGTAATCTGTCATAGGCTTGTATGACAGATATAGTTTTTAATTTGAAGATTTAAATAAATTCGAAATCATCCGAAAACTTTGTCCCCATGCATTGAACCAAACTTAAATTATACTTGATTAAAATTCTCTTGAAATTCTTTAATGTTATTTATTTATATTTATATTAAATTTTTTAAAAAATATACAATCAATCACAATAGTCCTTCAGGGATAAACGAGGTACTACATTCATGGACTGCAGTTCTTGGAACAATAATTTACAAGCGTAAGGCATCGTTATCGTAGAGACGGAAGAGCTGGATTTGCATCTCTGGCACCAACCGTTATATCCTATCAGACCGCATTTATTACAAACATCAACTTTAAAAGCATCGCTCGATATCATGAGTCTCTCTACTAATAACATGCTAGCTCCATAACTAATTAGACAGTCACGCTCCATTTCACCCAGTCGCAGACCACCTTCCCTGGAACGTCCTTCTGTTGGTTGACGTGTTAGAACTACCCTAGGCCCCCTGGCACGAGCGTGCATTTTGTCTTGCACCATATGTTTCAATTTTTGGTAATAAACCTACGAATTTCATTTTAAATGTTATACAGAGAAACATCAAATATATTCATCTGTTTATCTACGTTATAATTATATAAATTATTTTGAAAAATAAAAAAAAGATTTAAATCTTGTCAAAATAATTTATAACGTAGATAAACAGATGAATATATTTGACGTTTCTTGTATAACAAAAAAAAATATATATATAAAATTATATATATATATATATAAAATTTATATATATATATACATATATATATATGTATATATTCTTTAATGTATCTGCTATTCATAACAAAAATAAAAAATTGTGTATTTACTTATTTTCTACTTGTTTAAATAAATTTCTTATTCAGATGACTAAATCAATTTAAATAGCAATCTTTTTATCTAAGAGAAAAACTTACTGGTCCGGAGTAGACGTATCCTGTCAACGGTCTCCCAGTCATGCCGTCATAAAAGAGATCTTTACCTAAGTAATTAAAGCCATTTTTCGTCAAATCTTCACAAATGTCTTCCACTTTGGCATCACTGAACGCTGCAAGATGAAAACAAATAAAATTAAACATGATCAAACAGATAAGTAGTTATCTTTTAAGATGTACCTGTTGCATCATGAAATTTTCCGTTCAAGACGCCAGCTTTGCCGGCAAGTACCTCTATTAGTTTGCCCACCGTCATTCTAGAAGGAAAGCCATGCGGATTCATAATTATGTCGGGACACATGCCATGGTCGTTAAACGGCATGTCTTCTTGCTCCGCGATTAAACCTGGAATGGACATTGATTAAGGCACCGGAGATTAATACACCTTGTATTTACATAACACGAAAATATCGGGATAATATTGTACCTATAACGCCCTTCTGCCCGTGGCGACTACTGAACTTGTCGCCAATCTCCGGTCTCCGAGTTTGCCTTAGTAACAACTTTACTAGAAAGACATCGTCTGCGTTACTAGATACGATCACTTTTTCTACATACGACGGCACCAAGCCTTTATACTGGACTTCTGCGTTCCGATATTCCGTTTGCGTTTGTTGTTCATTGCCGGAGCTCACGGGGGCCATAATCTCACTCGGCGCCGGTACTTGTTTATTTACCAATATCTGCAATACGACACAATATCAAGTTTAATGTAAGGAATATTTAATATTCCGTTAAAAAGAAAAAGAGATACTTACAGTCCTATTTTCCACCATTTCACCAGGTGCTATAATCCCGTCGCTATCGAGTATTTCGTGCTTTGGTATAGGTTTCTTAGTATTGGCGTCTATCGACGGTCCCATGATTCTGTCGTGCTTTCGATTGGAATATGTCTTCAATATACATTTCGAGTTTCGGTACACGAGACATCTCCCGTATCCTCTGTCGATGGAGGCTTTGTTGAAGATCAACGCGTCCTCGATATCGTACCCGCTGTACGACATCACGGCGACGATCGCATTTTCGCCGGCTGGCAATTTATCGAAATTGATTAGGTCGATCGCTCGAGTCTTCACTATAGGCTTTTGCGGGTACACCAGATTGTACATCACCGTGTCGATGCGATTACGTTGATTGTATCCTATAGCCCCCATGGCCTGTTTACCCATGGCGCACTGATAGGTGTTTCTCGGGCTCTGATTGTGATGCGGGTACGGTATCAGTCCCGCGCACACTCCCAACACTCCGAACTCCGCGATCTCCAGATGCGTCGTGTCGTCGTTGAGCTCGGACTCCGTGCACGCGATTAAACTGTCGTTTTCCTCGTTCACGTCTAAATATTCGATCAACCCTATAAAACAGTTGGCAAACGACAGAATAATCAGACAGCTGAAAAAGAATATGCATATATGTAAATGCAACAAAATTGTGCCTGAATTGTTTACCGTAATAAAGAAAGTCTTCGAATGACAAGATATTCCGTTCAAGATCCTTTATGTGCTTTTGCTTGACAAGAGACTTTCCGTTCTTGACGATGATGCACGGCCTGCACAATCGCCCGCCGTCGGAGCTGATTTGAACGCACTTGTGCCGATGTTGCGTGTATATCGATACGAAACTGTTGATGTAGCCCTTCCTGCGCAGCAATCTGAACTGACGCACCAGCTTCTGATAGTTCTGCACGATGCCCACCATGATACCGTTCACGAAAACCGTATACGTACCCCTGTCAGTCAGCTCTTCCCCGGCGAGGGTGTAAATGTTCTCGACGCCGAGATTAAGCACCAGCTTTATTATCGGCTCCTCCGGCACCGCCGTGGTGATGTGGGCCATCAGAGCCAGGTTCTTCACCAGGCCGCAGGCTTCCCCCTCGGGCGTGTCGTTCGGGCACAGCATACCCCACTGCGAGCCCTGCAACGATCGCGGACCGGAGACCTTCCTGGTCTTCTCGAACTGGGAGTGGACTCGCGTCATCATACCGAGCGCCGAGATGTACGACAGCCGTGACAGCACCTGCGTCACACCATGCCTCTCCATTCTGAATCTCTTGATCGTCCAGTTGCCCGACGATATAGCGAAGGCCAGCCCGTTGGTAATTATGTCGTGCCTCATGTGTTTAGAGATGTCGAACGCCGCTGCTTTCACCTTGGGTATGTTCTTATTGGCAACGTTCTTCATCTCGTAATTGAATCTCTTGAACACATCCTCGAACATCAGGGCGAGTAGGGAGCCGGCCAGTTCCAGACGTTTGTTACCGTAATAGTCCTTGTCGTCGATCAGACTCCGGTCGGACTGCGCGTTTATGACTCTTCTGATCATCAAGGCGAGATACAGCGCCTTCGGTCTGAAATTGAAATCGACAACGGGTACGTGAGACAATATGTTCGTCGCTAACGCGTCTTTCATCTCGTCGGTCACACGATTTTTCGTGACGTGAAATCTCATGGTCTGCCGCCGTTTGTTATTGAGATATTTCAACGCTTGGTTCTGCGAAAAGATGCCTATCTCCTGGCAATCCTCCAGACTAGCTGCAAATTTATTCAGATATATCTCTTGCGTTCCGACCATTTGCATGATCTCCAAGTCGCTCACTATCCCCATAGCTTTGAAAATGACGGTGATCAGTATGTCGTCTTGGAACATATTGTGCCTTATGTAATATCTTCCACCTTTACCCACAACGTTCGTCTTGGTCTTCTTCTCGTGGGTAAAACTGTTGCACGCCGCAACAACGCAGTCCTTGCTGTCCTCCTCCAAGATAATCCTATTCCTAATCATTTGTTCTTGTATCAATATAACCTTCTCCTGGCCGTTTATGATGAAGTAGCCACCGGGATCAAGCGGACATTCGTTCATTTTGGCCAACTCGGATTCGGATTTTTTAGTTAGCACACAGTTAGAGCTGCGCAGCATTATCGGCATCCTGCGTACATTTACAATTATATTAATGATATTGGTGTCTTAATCATTTGTATCTATTACTGTGCATTCTAATCTCAGTGCTCTTACTTTCCGATGAACTTATTTTTCTTTATTATTCGCTCATTATTTCTCACATATTCAATATCTACTAGAATTGGGGCAGAATAATTTAAATCTCTTAAACGGCATTCGTGCGGTGTGGTTGACCGATCCACATAGCCATCCTGAACGTCAGGCTTGCCTACTTGTATATCTAAATATCTGGAAAGCGAGGGGAAAAAAAAAGTTTGCTTAGTCCGTCCTCCACAATTGCATCGTCCAAAAGTATATGTATGACATTGCTCTTACTTTACATAAAAATGTGGATCCTCGTCGCTTCGAACCTTTTCATTTGCCTTAACAATGTTCTTGATCTCTTCGTTAATGAAATAGTTGTAAGAATCTATGTGTTGCTTCACTAAACCCTTGTTCTGAAGAAACGCCGCCACTAATTTCCATTGATCCTGATAATATAATATGTGTAGTATTTAATAATTAACAATAGTTAGAGCCGTGTGAGCGCAATGGAAGAAATATTGGGAACAAAAATAAATATACGGATCTTTCAATCTATCTCAGAAATTGTGTAAGATTCCACAGTACACGGTCCCTGATTGACTGAAATTCTTATATTTATTTCTGTTCCTAACATTCCTTCCGTTGTGCTTAACACTTTATTTATTATCTAATAGTGAATTTAAAAAATAAAAAGAGAGAGCAAAACAAGGACGTAATCTCCACTTGACAGATCAAGTTCTACGCTTTGTATTAATATAAGAATTTATATATTTTTAAAAAAAACGACACATGTCATGCATTTACCTCCATTTCTTTCGTTCGCGTGTTCTTCACGACTAAGAAAATTACATTCGATAAATTGATGTTTTTCAGCTGTAATTCGGCAATGAAGTCATCCACGTGGTCGGAGCAGATCGGAGAGGAAAGCAATGTGCAAATGCAACAAATTGACAAAAATCTCTTCCAACAATTCCGGCGCCGGTAATAACCTCTATAAACCGCTAGACGATAACGCTTCCATATCCACAAAACGTAAACGTTGAACTACGTAGCCATGTCCGTGAAACTGTTCGGTGGATAAATTGTATATGTAACTACCGCGCGCGTAATTTAATTTTTGTCTTACAAAGTATCGATAATACAGATCTTGAATATAATTAATTAATATAATTAATATAATTAATCTAATTTAATATTATATAATTAATTAATTTAATTTAATTTAATATACCTAACCTAATAACTTAATTTAATTTAGTAAATAAATTAATTAACATAATTAATATAATTAACCTAAGCTTTGATATGTAATATATTTATTTAAAAAATTTCTGATATATAGACATGCACGGCGTGTCATTTTTGTCTTTCTGTCTGAAATTTGAATCGCACAAAATTCTTTTTTCGTATTTACAATTTAAAAAATATTGCTTGACAATTCATCGTACATATACATTTATATAGCTAAAAATATAATCTACAATTAAATTAATATATTCACGTAACGTGCCTCATACCGCATACGTAACTCATGAATATAAGAAACGTGAATAAAATAAGTGCAATGCCCGCAGTGGACGATTGTTTATTTCTGTAAATTTTTATTCTATAAATTTTTAATATTACAAAAAAATACAAAGTTCAATAAGTCATCATCAAGTGCAAATTTAAAGTCATATTTCCGTAAGCTGAATATGCATATATATATTTGGGATTATTATATATGCATGTATATGCATATAGATTTACTCAATTTTCGAATTAAGCAAAATAAGATAAAAAATATAGATATGAATTATAAGTGTTTCTAAAACACTTATATTTCTAAAACACATTAAAAAATATTACTTCAAACGTTAAAATAAACGTTTTTTTAATGAAAAAAAGAGCACTTAACCCATTATTTAAATGTTTTTAAAAATGTTTTTTTAATGTATTATTCAAATATTTTTAAACATATTTTTTAACACATTGTATGCTGATTGTATTAGTAGATTAGCTTACTAGTAAACTATAATTGACAATTACGCTGCTGATAAGCTTTATTTTTTCGTTGCTGTGAATATATATTTAAGAATCATTTTACGATAATTTTGTGTTAAATATTTTAATTAACTAATTTAATGTAAATTTTGTAAGCCTCATGAAATTATATTGACGTCAGACAAATATAATGACGCTTATACGCATATGCGGAACATTTGCAATTATGTTATCTTAATGATATTTAGGCTGCGTTCCATTTGGCGCTTACAGCGGCTCTCTAAGTGTTAGTACGCTTTAACGCCGTGAACTTTATCGTGTTACGGTTTACTCAACAGCAGTCAACGGCTCGCTTCCATACGTTTTACGACGAATCTCTGTTAGATTTTTTCTGATTATCGATCAAGATATATAACGTTAATAACAGGTATATAAGATATATGACGCGAATATATACAGATTTCCGTTAATTTTCTTATAAAAATAATTCTTACAAAATTCTCGGGCGTGTCTAGTGTTTTTCTTTTTCGGCAGCGAGCAGAGGACAAATCGAGCATATATTTCCAGCATACAATTTGTAATATCAGTTGACGAGATCGAGGCAGAATGTTCCTGACGCGCTGTTCCGTCGTTTCGCGGCATCTCGTGAATTGCGCCGGCAAAATCGGCGCATGCCGCGCGTCGAGCTACTTCAAAATTGACGAGAGCATTTTCGGACTAAGCGACGAACAGAAAGAGGTTAGTAAACAAGTGGCCTGCAGAGTCGAGAGACGCGGCGCCGCTGACCCGCGGCTGACCGCTCGATCATGTGAAATGCGAATAAGTAGAGTTGATCGCTATATAATCGCGAGACGAGTTGCGCCGAAGTGCAATCCGTCATTGCACAATTTACGATGATATGAAAAATTCGTCATAATAATAAATATACACGCGCAATTGGATAACGCATATACGCAACGTTTGAACAAAAGATGCTTGTCATTCTTACATGCACGCGTCTTATTTTTGACGTAATTATAATAATAATCAATTTATTTCTCACTTAATTAAATTTTACAAAAAAAACTCGACAAAAAAAAAGCGATAAATATTTTGATCGGCTAATGCAGATCGCGCTTTTTTGCCACGCGTTGATGCGTTCTAACAATATAGAGATGGTAATGTGGTAACAAAGTTCAAACGCGATTTTTCCTTCGTATTATCGCGTTTAAAACTTTAAAATATATCTTTATTTATAATACTTATGTGCAAAACTTACTTAATGTTATAATATAAAAACTTTGGGCACCAAGAACCGCTCGTGACTCTCATTGGCCTGTTTTGCACTTAAATTTTAAATATCGAGAGTCATTAATTTTTATTTTTATTTATAAAGTATCTCTGTAAATATAAATAATGGTAATGAAACATCTGTAATAATAAATCATGAATTTAATATTGATTTATTATTAGCTATTATGTCGGCGATCAAGAAATTTATATGTCTCGATAATTGATCTAAATATTGATATTTTTCAATTATTCTCATTAATAACCAAAATTTATATTAATCGATGCGTCTCGTTGGTATTTATCGGTATTTAACAATTCTTTTTTTTTATTAAAACTGCAATAAAATGTAATAAATAATGAAAAAAAATATATCGAATTTTTAAATTATTTCTCTTGTAAATGCTCCGATATTTTATCGTGCTCTTTTCTTTCTCATAAAAGACTTGAAAACAATTACGCAAATATTTAACAATCACCACTCTTGATTCAGCTTCGCTCGCTCGTTTTCAATTTCGTGCAAAAGGAGCTGGCGCCCAAAGCCGCAGAGATCGACAAGAAAAACAATTTCGACGAATTAAGGGTAAGTGTTCTATGCACTAATTTCAGTGTAGAAAAAATTGAAAAATAGATTGCAAACTATAATAAATTAAATTCTATATCTTATTGCGTGATGTCCCAATCGACGATTCTATTTAAAAAAATGGTCGCAGACATTTTGGAAACAATTAGGTTCATTGGGTCTGTTAGGACCGACAGCTAAAGAGGATTACGGAGGCACGGGCGGCACATATCTTGATAACATAATTATCATGGAGGAAATTAGTAGAGCCTCGGGTGCCATCGGACTCAGTTACGGTGCACACACAAACCTGTGTGTCAACCAAATTCATCGAAACGGTTCGGAGGAACAGAAGCGCAAATACTTGCCTAAGGTAAAAAAAAGAACTCCCTCCTAATATTATATTTCTAGAAGGAATTTTATATGAAAAAAATATTTCGGTAAATGAATATTCTGATGAATAAATTATAATTTCAATTGTAAAAGTAAATTGTATATTTATAGTTATATAAATTACAAATAAAAATTTTTTAACATAATTTTTTTCATACAGGCCTAACATTACATCTAGAGTTTGATATGAAAAGAAAAGAATATGTAATATTTCAATGACTAAGTTTAGATTGAATTGTAATTACAACTGTAAAAATGGATTGGGTATTTATAATTACTGAAATTGTAAATGGAAGCCCTTTCACGGAAATTAAGAAGCGACTTTTGATATCTCCATCGGTGAGATTAAATCAACGACATATATATATAGACCGAGCATTCTGTCCACAGCATGAAGCCGAAAGTTGGCAGAATACGACTAAGAGAGATAGCATTTGCGGGGAATGCTGTCTCATTTTATCTTATAGTAAGATTGGTAAGATGGCCGATGTCAACAGCTGTCAATTGACACCAGCGTCATCTTACAGTAAGATAAAAGAGAGAGCATTCCCCTCAAATCGCACTGTCTCTCTCAGTCGTATTCTGCCAACTTTCGGCTTCACCTCCTCCACATCAAAAGCATAGGAATGCTCGGTCTATTATATATGTCGTTGGATTAAATACACATCGCTCGCGCAATCATTGATAATAAAAATAAATTATTCTTATTATATGAGAATTTTATATTCTAAAAATTCTAATTCTAATGATTTAATTTTAATTCTAGTTATGCAGTGGCGAACACATCGGTGCGTTGGCGATGTCGGAAACGGGTTCCGGATCGGACGTCGTATCTATGAAGCTGCGGGCCGAGAAGAAGGGCGACTACTACGTATTGAACGGCAACAAGTTCTGGATCACCAACGGTCCGGACGCGGACACGTTGATAGTCTACGCAAGAACGGATCCAAATGTGGCCAAGCCGCAACACGGTATCACCGCCTTCATCGTCGAGCGCGGCTTCGAGGGCTTCAGCACGGCACCGAAACTGGACAAGCTCGGCATTCGCGGCTCCAACACAAGCGAACTCATTTTTGAGAACTGCAAAGTGCCGGGTAAGTCAGACGCTTGAATGAGAAACGCGAGATGAACATAGAGATTTTAATGTTAAGATAGGAAGAAATTTGAGAAATTTTCAACACTTTTTTAAATTTAAGTTTATCGATTTATTGAAATTGATTCATTGAAATTGATTCTTTTGTCTTTTAAACGGTCCTTATATTATACAGTGTAAGAGATTTTCTTTAGAAAATTTTGTAAGACAATTGTAAATTTTTGTTACAAGCCGCGAACGTTCTGGGGGAAATCAATAAAGGTATCTATGTGCTCTTCAGTGGTCTTGATTTAGAACGTTTAGTATTGGCAAGTGGACCCCTGGGGTAAGTTCTTAGGAAACAATGAACGATATAACATTTGGCTTGATAATATGAAACATATTTAACTTTTTTATCTGTACTTGTATCTTGCGCGTTAAAGGAAATTTTATAAATGATACATCTTTTACAATCAATAAAATAATAATTATATTTTTTTAATATTTGCCATATAAATTGCATATTAGACAAATATTGACGTGTATTATAGTGTGACAAATAAAACTCCAATTTATTTCCATGAAATTATTAAATTAATAAATCATTATTTAAATACTCACAAGCGAGCGTAAATTCTAGACTTCTGCAAGCTTGTTGCGACGTCGCCTTTGAATACGCTCATACGAGAAAACAATTCGGCCAAAATCTTGCGGAATTTCAATTGATTCAAGGCAAGATAGCTGACATGTACACGGCTCTGAGCTCGAGCAGGAGTTACTTGTACTCTGTCGCGAGGGCCTGCGACGCCGGTCACGTAAATCGCAAAGATTGCGCCGCGGTGATCATGTATATCTCCGAGAACGCAACGAAAGCGGCGTTGGATGCCATACAGATATTAGGTAAATTTATTAGCAAAAAAAAAACGGGGGGAGGGGAGAGAGAAAGAGATCGAGAGTAGTAAATAAATTATTTGTCAGAAAAAATTGTATAGAAAAGATATAAGATCGAACTTGAAATTTGTTGATGTTAAGCGACATATTTTAATGAGGATAATTATCAAGTTTTTTTTTAATCCCTCTACTCTAGGTGGCAATGGATACACCAATGATTACGCGACGGGGAGGCTGCTGCGAGACGCTAAGCTCTACGAAATCGGCGCGGGCACCTCTGAGATAAGACGTATAGTCATCAGCCGAGCGATTTCGGAGGAATATCTGTGAAACAATGAATCCCGTCGTCACAATTTGATGTCTACAATCATATACACGTAACGTGACATGTAAATTTGTGAATTCGATTTGAACGACTGATAGTTCAGAAGACGATAATTATGACTTGTCGCTCGAACTGCCGTCGTATTTTAATGACGAATTATTCGCGCAGTTATTTGTAACATATGTTAATCATTAAGTTTTAGATGTTCTTTTAAAAGAGATTTTTATTGTTACTCCAGAGAAGGCAAGACGGTTTTTATATTAAATATGTTTTATACATGAAAAAAAGACGCTGCTGTCATTTCCACGAACTCGCAAATGTACATATCTATAATGTAACTGATATTCGATAGTTCTTTTTTTCCCTCTTTTTCCGCCTGTAATTAACCGATTTATTATCGTCGACCGGGTCGACCCAATGTCGGGCATATCGCATTATTGGCGATATGCGTTAATGATCGTATAAATTAAGGTAAAGTGAGTCACTAGAGCGATTGACTAACCTTTCGTGCTATAGGTTGCTAATTTAAGTCGTACAAACACGCGTTCTCTTTCTCTCCCTCTCTCTCTCTCTCTCTCACTCATTATTTCACTCTCTCTTTCTCCCGCGTCTCTGGTTCTCTAGTCTCCGTTAATTACAGTGCAGCCAAACTAATTGCATCGAATCGGCTCGCATAGGGGAGAAGTTTCTCGCCGCCCGTGAACGTCGCACGGCGGAAGAAGCGCGTGAGTGTCCCACCAAAAAACGCGGGGGAAAAAAGCGCGATCATCAGTCAGGTTTTCGCGAATCGAGGATGGCTCTCAAGTTCTCGATAGGCCACTTTTACGAGACCTATGTAAGTACGAAGGGTACGCGACCCAGAAGAAGCCCCTTCAATCTTCTCCCTGATTTTATACTCCGATCGTCCGACTACCGGAACCATCGATTTTCGATGGTCGACTTCTCGATGAGGTCTGGAGTCGTTTTTCGTTTTGTGGAAAATCCGATAGTGGGCTTATTGTTAGCTGAAGCTACGTTGAAATAATCAGTGCAATTTATCGATTTATCTCACGATTAAATAAATAGCTTAAATCGATGATGGCTATTAAAGAAATATTTGATAATTAAAATTAAGCGATTTGGACGATTTGAACTTTGAAAATATGAATCCGAATATATCTAGTTTTTTTGTTAATTACGAATAGATTTAATTTGTTTAAAATAAAATTAACAAATGAATAATATCTTTATTTGATCAAACTCGTCATCAAATTAGCATATAAAAAAAACTGTCGGTGAGATATTCGACGCGACGAAACGCATCTCGTAGCTTCTTCCGTGTATATAAGTCTGTCCCATTTAAAATGAATTGCTTATGAAACACGTGTTGAAACGTATTTCGAATCGAGTCAATAAAGTTGTCCATGGAAATTATGACTTCCATATTTTCACTCTGTCCACCTCTACTCTTTCCCTAATATATTCGTCACGTTTATCATACTATATATATAAAATCCTACTGCTTACTCACATTATGGCGTTTTATATCATATAGCACAAATAATTTTGCGCGATGTTGCGCGTATCATTGTAAAGAATTAAAATAATTAATCTTATATTTCTTTAAGGAGACCTATGTAAGTACGAAGGATATGCGACCTGGAAGAAGTCTCTTTAATTTTCTCCCCAATTTATACTCCGATCATCATACCATCCGGAATCATCGATTTCTTATCTAAAATTTTTTTAGAAATATAATATCCAGAGAGATATTAGCCTCTAGTGGTATTATCGACTATATATCCTTTGATTTAAATTTAATTTAAATTTTATCTTGTTATAGCTTTTTGCTGCTTGTCGCGTCTCTGAATTGATCTGTTGAATTAATCGGAAATAATTATTTTAAATATTGAGAGAACCCTCGAAAACAAAATCATGATAGTTTTAAATATTAAAAGGCGAAAAATAATGATCAAAAATTTTCTTTTCCAGCCTGCACGCGCTCTTAGTTGCTAAGGTAACTATAATTATTTAGGATTATTATTTTTTTCTAGAGGTCAACGAGTCCGTTTAAAATGACGTGAAAATTCAAATGGGGCAAATTTTCCAATTGCACAGAATTCTTGTCTTTAGTATCTGGCATCTGGCACCTTCAAGGATAAGGATAGCTCTCGCGGTATTCTTCGCGGTTAGTCGCGGTTCTGCATTTCTCCCTCAAGGCGAGAGACTATAAAACGTTTATGCGTGCACGCATACACATGGTAAATGCCAGTGAAACGAATGCGCGTCGGACCATTAGAACAATACGTTGGCGCGATACGCCAACTCGAAATGGGGCCAGAATAGCGAAGAAAGAAACAGAGAGAGAGAGAGAGCGAGAGAGACTAGCAGCGGTGGTCTCTCCGTTAGAGTTGGGCAACGAAGCTCTCTCTTTCTCTCCCTCTCTCTCTCTCTCTCTTGCTTTCTGTTCAGGGCTCTGTCAAAGTCGGCATATAGTCGGCAAGTGCTACAGCTGCAGCTGCTATCTCAGTAGTGAAGCAGAGAGCGACCACGATCCGGGAGACCCATCGCTCGCGCGTATTCGCGGGAGGTCTTCCCTTCTTCTGAGAGAATCAGTCTTTTTTTCTTCTTGAAACTTATTCTCTTTCCATCACTTTTTATCTCTCTCTCTCTCTCTCTCTCTCTCTCTCTCTCGTTTGCCCACGTAGTGCATCTCGCGATTGATTATAGGTGCTTGTGCCGTGGCTGTTTGTTGTTGTGTTATTATTTAATTAGTGGTAGTGTTGACTGAATCGAGTATAGAGTATGACGAGAAGGCACACGTTGATCGTGAAACTCAAGAGATCCAGCACCGGCAGACCATGGGGCATAAGGATCGCCGGAGGCGCCGATCTGGGCACACCGATCGTCGTCACCCGCGTGAGTCTGCTTCTTCTTCTCGTTCTTCTTAATTCCCGCGCGATCTCCCGCACATCTTTAGTTTCTTTTCAATTTTCAAATTTCATCTGCAATTTTTGAATTAAATTATTAGAATTGTTCTAGAGCTAGGTTTGAAATTAAACTATTCCGATATTGAATTTAAATTTGTTTTGAAGCTTTATGGTCTTTAAAAGAAACGATGGCACAAATAATAATGAAAATATATATGTATATAAACAAGTATAAAGATATATATAATGAAAAACAAAATAATGAATTCTTTAAATATTTCAAAAAGAAACAATAGAAATTATTTAATTTGGAATAACTTCAATTGACAATTAATAACGTTCAAGGAATTATAAATAAAGAAAGTTACACATTGAAAAAAAAATGTAAATATTATTATAATTTTATATCGTGTGATCATAATTTATTTATCATAGTATTAAAAATACCTTTTAATGATACAAAGTCAGATTTGTGCTTTTAATTGTAAACGCCATAATATAAAGCCAATAAAAATCAGACAGTCCTCGAAAATGCGAAGAGAGTATGCAAGTTCTTTTCTTTATGACATTTAGTAGTCGTGTTATCTCCGGGCAATGATTTTTGTGATCCGGGAGGAACAAAACGTTTCTCTCATTAGGGAGGCTTCGTTACGGTGTCCACTTACTTGGCTACGATACGATTTCGCGCTGGCGAACGCGTCGGCGGAACAATAGAGGTGGACGTAACAATCCTTGTTTAAACATTTGAAATGGAGAAGGCTGCCAAGGAATTCTCAAATCAACGATTCGATCTAGCGCCCGTTGACATTGATACACGATACGTACGCGTCTCGGAGTTCGCGCCGAAACACGGTCCAACGAGATAATCTCGAAGCGCCTTCTCGTCATAGGCGCCTAAAATCGTACAATTGAAGAGCGTAGAATTCGTATTGTTAAAAAAATATTCTTAGTTGGTTCTCTACTTTCGTTTTACGTGGCTCTGTTTTTATCTTGCACAAGGGATAAATAATAGAAAATTTGAATATTATTTATTACAGCCTACATGTGTGTGTTCTACCCAGCAATATCCTATAATTCATCTTATTCTACATAAAATTTCAACAATCTTTCTTTTATTAACCTTTCTCATACGTTAATTTTTCCAAGTTTTTGAGAAAGCAACTGCTGTCAAATTAGAATGATAATTAACATAGAATGATAATACCATTTTATTTAATTTTTTAAGCTGTTTTAAAAGTTATTTACTTATTTAGAGAATATCTTACAATTTCAGAATAAGTAAATGAATGAAAATTTTTAAGAAGACGATTTCCACTTTTTGTCACATAGGTATTTCATAAAAGAATTTGAGATTACTTTTGATTGTGAAAACAGTGATAATCGATAATTTTCGAAAATTAACACTGCGATTTGCATCACGAGCAATTGCCGCTAACAACGCCGGCTCGACGCTCTGCTTGCAGTCGGAGAACGAGGCGCTCCAGAGGGGTGACATGATCAAGAAGATCGACGATTACGACGCGCGCGACGTGAGGCATGTAGACGCACAGAATCTCCTCCAAAACTCCGATACCATAAAGCTAGTCGTCGAAAGGTCTGAGCCGTCGAGAGCATCATCACGTACAAGCACCGACACTACCATCACCGCGTCACCATCACCACCCACGATTTACAGGCCGATCGTTGGCAACGGGGCTGCGGCCACTAGTCTGTCAGAATGCAATACTATTTCTACTATGCGTATTTTATTCGCAAATGCCGACACAGCAATGACACCGCGTTGCCGTCGCGATGTCGCAGCACGCCGCTGATTAATTCGCCTCCTCGATTAATCAGTTTCTCAAGCACGACTGACATTTCTGGCCGCTGCATTAAAACCTCTACCACTTACTTTCGCACTCCTGCGATCGTCTTTAACCGCGATAACAGGCTCCTTTCAGACATGCGAATCGTTATAGTTCTGATTTCTTTTTAATTAAAATTAAGAATCATTTTTGTATTGTTAATTCAGTATATTTAATATGTTTCTATTTTAATATTCATTCTGCACAAGCAAAATCTCTTTCTTCTTCGCAAAATCGTAATTGATTGCCTGTTTTTAATGTATAAAGGCGATCGTCGAGAAACCACCACAAAGCTGCTTGCGTTTTGCCGCTACTGCGACACGAATGCGCGATCTGTCATATCTTATTAATGTCTTTTGCAATTCCTTCACGCAGGTACAAACAACCGAAGGAGCGTCCGCAAGAATTGCCGAAGAGCCCAGTACCACCGCCCTCGGCCGAGGAGTACAGGTCAACGCCGACTCCGGAATACACCCTTCGCAGCACGATCACTTTGCCGCACGAACACCTCGACGAGATCCGCGAGGAAAGGGTTCACCTGTCGCAGGTATTTTTAATTTTGTATTTCTTACGAATCGTAAGAAATTAAACGTTGCTTTCGTACGAGAAAAAAAAAACTTAAATAAGAGGCTTGAATAATTGAAAGTAATTAAACTATGCTAGTAATAAGAGAAATAAATTACATCGAAATTCTCAATTTGATCTTACGAAGAAATTGCTTTGTAGAGTAAAACGGAAATAAATCTTCATTGAATCAAAGCGTTTTGCGTTTCTGAGTAAAACCTTGATTGTGTTAAAAGCCTTGCTTAAGTACTGCTGGATTTGTTTAGACCCATCGGTAAACTCGGTACACACCAAATATGCGTCTTACAGTTTCGCGGGAGCGAGAGTGTATTTAGTCTCTGAAAATCGAATTTCCGAGCACGTGTCGGCGATACAAATTTCGCTAGAGAGTTCGTTGATCCGCGCGAAAGAACAGTCGGTTTTGTTTCAGCGTATAAATCAAGGTCCGACGTCTCGGTATTTGTTTCCTTTCCGGATCGAAACAGTCTGCATTTAATAGAAAAATATCTCTCGGGTCAATCGTTCTCAATGTAGTCGAACACGCAGGGAAATAATATATATGTACAAGAGACATTAAAATCGTATTTTAAAGTTCAGGCATTATTTATACTTAGAAAAGGAAAAAAGCTTTTCGTCGTCTAATAAGTTTAAATTAAAACTTATTATTTAAACATATTTAATTGAAGAAAGAAAGAAGCGCGGGGAGTTTATTACGCAGGATTATTGATATCAGCAAGCGCCAAGGTTTCGGCGAAACGTGATTGACAGCTTCGTGCGGAATTATGCAAGCTAAAAGCTTCCGAAAGCTAAAAGTAGATATACGAATTACAGAGCTGAGACCGTCCGTCCCGTCGTAACTCTTTGCCCTATCATTAGCGCCATAAACGTCTTTTTTATTTATTTTCTAAGAGTTCTCGGAGAGAGTTTCTCTGTGCGCGAGCGGCCGAAATACTGCGAAAATTGCATAAATCAACGAGATTGTTATTACATCTGAAAATATCTTTCTTCGTCTTTTCTTAAGTAACGATTTGAAAAGTGCGAGGATGTCTACAAGAGCTCTACAGAACTCATTGACGGGAGAGAACGGAAGGATCGTAACCCGAAGTAAACGTTCGATCTGCGCGTAACACACAAGGCTCCGTTTGAGGAACAAGATTTGGAAAAATAGATTGAAGTACATCGTAAAATAATATATAGACACGGCTGTGTCAGAGGCACGCGAATCGCCGCAATAAGCGGCGGCCCGTACTCCGGTTACTCAAGTCCATACGACCGTGGCATCTGGCAAGCTCGAGCTCGTTCCGAAATACCCTTCTGCACTTTGAAATCCAATAACTCATTGCCGGATCACGCTACGGGTGTGGCGTGACAGGACATTTGTCGCGTTTAATCCGTGTCCCTCCTACTCATTTCGAAACGGCTTATTTAAGGTGTTGGAATTCTGGCCTGCCGTTAACGTTATTGCGGTAATCGATAGCGGAGTCGGCGCGTGCAAAAATTTTGCAAGACGGAGAAGTCCCGTAAGCGATAAAAGTTGCGATTAAAGTTGACTCGTCGAGTTCAGCGTAAACGCGTGACTAATTCGACTAACTTGCAGAGAACCACGCGGACCGCGAGGTTTTTGGGAAAATGTCAAAATTTTGCGATTTTAACGACGACGGGGCAATGATTTGCGATATCGCTATTTCGCGTCCAGATGTCTCCCGTCGTTTAACGGAACATTTAACTGCGGTTTTGCGAGAGAACGATACCGACGAGAAAGAGAGAGAGAGAGAGAGAGAGAGAGAGACAGAGAGAAGCGCGTCATCGCGTTTATTAAGGCGACATCGCGTATATATGCGCGATATACCAGGGTGCATCACCGCGCGAAGCGAGCGACGGCACGGAGGTGCCTTTATTCGTGGGAAGTCCGAAGTGTGAATATATTTTTGTTGGCCCGCCACGATGCCGGAAAGTCCGTCGCCACCAGTAGAGCCGGTTGCCACACGCTATAAATATCGCTTTTGCATCGAAACCACCTCTGCCTCTGCCCCTGCCCCGATCCGATATACGTCCCGCGGATCCAGGACGTCGCCGCGCGACCACGCTTTCGCGCCTTCCACATTCCGCGCACAGCGGATTTCATTTTTTTCTTTTGCGGCTCCAAGTGACAGAAAGTGTATAAAGAGAAGCAAATCTCTCACTGACACATTAAAAAAATATTTAAATTAAAAATAATTTTATCGAATATTTTTTTAAGTGGCACAAACGCCCATTAGACATCTTTGATTACGGAAAAAAATGTGCGTTATCTTAAGCATCTTCCACAGCGTTTAATAAATAAACCCTGGAAGGGAAGCGAAAGATTACGACACATTTTAGCAATTTATACTCTCAACTAACTCTCTCATTAATCTCATTGCGGAATCGAACCTTCTCCGATTATTCCGAATAGTAATAATCAGCTTGTAGAAAATTTTAGAAGCTGAGAACATAAATAAATATATTAATTACAGTTTTATTTGACAAGAAAAAAAATTAATAAACTGCCTTAAATATGATAATTAATTGGACTTAATTGAAGACAATCAACAAAAATATACCTTTGACCTAAAAATCGGACGTATTTGTATTCATAAAGGTACCGTTCCGATTTCTCAGTCAGATGATAATCCGACTACAGTCGCCGCGTCTGAGATCAACGAAGAACATTCGACTCGTGACGTTTTTCCGGTGTCGGGAGCTTTTTACGTGGAGACGAGAGTGAACGAGGTTTCGTGAGAGGTCTCCGGAGAGAGAGAAAGAGAGAGAGGAGCCGCGTGGAAAAGGCCAGAGTTAGTGCCGCCCGCGCGCTCGCGCCGAGCCAGTACCTAGTGCTTTAAGCGCGAATAATCCCGCGAGAGTCGCGAGCGAGGGACGACGCGAGAGCGCGCCGCGAAAGGGTTACCGCGCGCGCGAAAAAGGGGTGACATAAGGTCGGTGGTTTGCGAAGGAAGCTCTCTCCGCGAGGGTCGGCCTCTCGGACGGACGGAGACGAGAAGATGCCCGCTTACACGACCGTCTACCGTTACAACATCGAGCATCATCCGAAGGAGGAGGAGGCGGCCGTTTACTGGGTACGAAAGAGACGAAAGGTTTCATCGGATTTCGTTTAAGTTCATTAAGGGAGGAAGAACCTCGTCGCAAGCAAGGGTGAAAACGCGAGGCGAGTTCCTCCTTTGCCCTTGAACGTGCATCTTCCTCGCCAAGATGTGCTTGACATCTGTGACAGGCTGTTTAGTATTGTAGTAAAAGTATCGCGGAAACGCCCAAAAAATATGCGTAAAACGTAAAATTTTGTTCTTATTTTTTCAAAACTTTCTCGGGACTTTTTTCGGCCCAATAACATTTTTCGATCAATAGATAGCGCGAGTCATGTTACATCTTAGGGTGAAATCTATGTTTTTGCGATATTATTCTCTCTTGATGGAGATATCTCTCAGAATTTTTCTTATTTAACATCCGAGCACTCTGAGTGTCCAGTTGATTAAATAATAATTTATATTTTTTAGGTGAAGCTATATATATGAGAAAATTATTTATTTGGTTATTTAGTTGACTATATAAATAAGATTCAATAAATATAAATTATAAATATATTTACATATTTATACATAAGCTGATTTATTCATTATTTAATCATTGCGTTTTTTTTTATTAGATGATTTCTTTTCTCATTTCTTTCTTTTGAAACGCTGTGTTATACACCTTTCAGAATGATCTCATCTCGTTTTACAAAACTCACTGTTTTTTTTTTCGTACAGATGGCATTTATGCGTGGGTTTGTCCACGACAAGATATAACAACCATAAAGCTTGAGCTTAACAACTTCGCTGGGCCACCCTAAAAATATCAAAACTCAATAACGCAAGTTTAGCTCCACCGACGCGTCGTGTCGATATCGAATAACAACAATACCACGAGCAATAAGTTCGCCAGACGGTCTAGATTTCGCGTTTGTTCAACCTTGACACAGTGCACAACGTGTCCGCAGAACAATTCTGTCATTAGTAAAGGAATTTGTTTGCAATTTCGCCTATTTCGCCCGCAAAAATCCTCAAAGAGGGTATTCCAAGCTGCAGGGGTCGATTGGAACCACCGAGATGAAAGGCAGAGTCGGCGCGGGCGTGAACGCAGCGTGCGTTAATATCGCGCTATGCAATAAAACGCACATAGGCATCGCCATTGCGGATGCCGTTCATCGGTATCGCGTTCTATTTTCGTGAACGGGATCTGGGTTACTCACGAACACGCGGGAGCAGCCGTCATACAAAGACACACCCACGTTTTCCGAATCCACCTTTCGTCCGAGAGATTTTTCGAAGAGTTTTTAATGCGACGATTAAGTAACAGCTGATCAACCCTTGCCGAAATTAATGATAATTTTTTAAATTACTTAATTTCATTTCCTGAATAATATTTAACGATACGATTTTAAAAATCAGAAAGCGACATAATTATAAACGACTTTGACAATCAACTAAATTCTTACGTCGGAAATGGAGCAAATCGGAATTTATTTGCGCGTTATAAAATTAATTCAATTATTATCTTAATTATAGTTTTCTTTCTTATTTATTATAGTTTTCTTTCTTTCTTATAGTATCTTTCAGCGTCCGTTAATGAAACATCTGTTCGTTAGCGTGCTTCTTGCCAACGTGCAATCAGTTTCCAAAGAGTTCAAGTTTCACCTCGACGCCAAGCAATAAACACTCCGTGAAACAGCTGTTTCGCTCCGTCTGAATTTAGTTCAAGAGACCTTTTACAAAACGACGCACGAGCGTGTGCGCACGCTTGCACAAATCTTCTAAAATAGAAAAAGATCGTAGATTCCTAATGCAAAAATTTCCGTTGACAGCGATGGGATTAATGGAATGAATTCATCAATCGAAGTAAATAATCTTTATTTTACCCTTTTTGGAAGACAATAGTTCGCTTCCTCCAAATATTAAGCATCACGTAGATAAAAAACTTAATCATTCCATTCTTTAAATTAAAAAAAATTAAGTAATACAATTTCTCGTGTTTAATTGATTTCAAATCTTTGAGATTTAAAAATGATAACATGGAAAAATTTTATTGTAACGTTATTGGATAGAATTAGTTTTATCATTTATCTTAAATACCTCTGATTATTTCAAAACACATTGAGATATTCATCATCGAAGCAAAATGGAAGTGGGATACCCTTTGGGCTTTTGGACGGCCTTGAATCCGACCTATTCCTCCCTTCTCGTGCGACCTTGCCAACGGGAAGACGGTTCCCGTCCAAGAACGAAATGGACGAAACGCTTCCTAATGAAAAAGTCACGGGCGAAAAGAAGCGGACGAGAGGCGCGAGGGGACAGGCGGTTTTTGTAGCTCGGGGTGTGCGCGTTATTTTTGCCGGCCGGGAGCCTTCATCTATTTCGAGAGAGTCACTCGCGGCTCACCCTCCAACATAATGGGACGTTTCTGACCCATTTATAATGGAATCATCGTAATCGTGCGATTTCTGCACGCCGAAACTCGCGCGCGAACTTGCGACCGCGACCGCGATTCTAAAATTGTGAAACATTGCAACGTGCACATTGCAGCAATTCGGGCGCATAATTCAACCCCTTAGAGGGGTCGAATTTTAAGAACCATATAAGAACCATATAAGAAATTTTGTATATATGTATATATTTGAATATATCTATTATTCAATCTGTTAAGCATTTACAAGTATTATTTAATCGTGATCAGTCGGTTGCTTTCAATTGTTCACTGTAATAACGATCATATTTTTTACAGCTACCCTTTTTATCTTATTTTAATTTTATATGTTTGAGAAAGAGAGAAGATCTAACGATAAGAGAAAGCATACCAAAATAGTGAGATAAATTTTAATACTAAATTTTAATATTAACAATAAGATACGTGACATCGACATGGTCTGGTATTGTTCCATTGTGCTCTGCAAGCTCAAGGTAATAATTTCGAGACTAACAATAACATTGTTGATGAATGAAACATCGCTCATAAATCTTAAACTGCTTCAAAAGCGATTATTTCAACATAATTTTTACTGTAAAATGAAAAGTAAAATGAAAAATTTGTTTTCGGCGAGGAAATATCACGGAAAGCTTTATTTACGGATCTCTCCAAAGGTCGCGATAATCATGCCTGATGGCGTTTCTAAATTTTCGCTCCGGCTCGCGACTTCGCGAGAATATCCGCGACGACGGAATATTACCGAAACTCGTCTGAGATCTCGTCTCACGATTTGTTTTCACGGATGTTTCGGCAACTCGTACTGTAAACATAGATCTGCGTAGCGAATCGACGATGTACGATGCACCTGCAGATTCGTATAATTTCGTAATGTCGCGCAAAAATGACGGCACGTGACGGAACCGATCCGTGACTTGGCAAGTCGAATTAATTCGTAATGCCATGAGGATGACTGTCGATTTTATATAATTTTCTCATTGTAAGCTGCGCGGAATTTTTGCTTTTTTAAAGACAATCGGTCGTTGTCGAACTGTATCGCTTCCGATTTGCAGCGTCTAAACATTAGCCAGAAATAATCATCGATCTATTGAAAAATTATGCATGCTACGAAAATAATAGATATAGATATTGTTCATTTAAAAAGAGAAACATTTGTTGTTGATTTAGAACGAAAACTTTGGAAACAAGAGAAATATTTGCCAAAGAAAGATCTTATCTGTCGTAAATGTGATTAATGATGTGTGTGCGTGTGTGTGTTATCTGGTCGTTAATCATTCCAAAATATTTTAAATGTGTTCTAAAGAGATATAAAGTCGTGACAAGTTTATATATCGTTCTGCTATAGCTCACTACTTTTTTAACTCGCACTTCGCCTCATTAGTGTTACGAAATGGGATCACTGTCAAATTAGGCTGCGATATCATCAACATCATTGATTTATTCTTGTCGTTGCTCGGAATTATGACGGCGTAAGCGGCGTTAGGAATTATAATGAGCCACCTTTCGATCACCATGGCCTCCATTGCGGTTTATTTTAGATCTCGTTAGTTAATTGGCATCGACAGGATATTGTTTCATCTGCCCTATTAACTGCCATTACTTGCACAATTACCGTCATATCGTTAATATCAGTTTATATAGCTATAGTGAAATATATTAAGTCTATAAAATGTATTATAAAAATTAAGATATTATATATTAATTATATATATATATATAAAATATAATATATCGATGTCAATAGAGCTACAATTGTGTGTCTTCTAGCCCTACCGTACGACTCCTCTGGTCTTGCCAGGTGCCAAGGTCAAGAAGGATGCTCCTCTCGGTGAATGCTACCTGCGACATCATCCGAATCCGATGATCAGAGCGGCGCCCCATCATTACGAGCCGGCTCACCCTGAAGTCGCTATGAAACAAAGGGTAAACCGACGTTATAAAATTATTCGAATACATTCGATCCCGGCGACGTACTATTTGCGAATAAGTCTTTCCACTTTTCTGGAGACGCGTTTGTTCAAAGCGTTTAAACTACTGTATGTCTCATTTGCACGTCGTCTGAGCAGGTGGCGGAAACGGTACTTCAGCGTGTCGTGGGACCGAATGAAGTTCCAAAGGTTTGGATCACTTCCGTTGTTATACTTTCGTAAGCAGCTTCCGCTTCGAGAAACGAACGCTTACGCTTTCTGGACGACCGATGTATCCGCAAGAAACTTGAGTTTCGTTTGACGAGATATTCCCTACTGTCACACGTTTTTTTTCGCTAATAACTAATAATAATAAATAATTATAATCGCGATGTTAACGCGATTATTATACAGGATTAATACAGAATGTCCTGGAACTCGCCTGTAACTCGATAATCTGAAAAATAATACCGATGCATCTCGATTACGTTGTGAATCGATACAGTTTGCATCAACTTCCGTTTATGATTAAATCATACTCAAGTTAACTGAACTGAATTATTTTGAATAATTAAATCCCAATTTAATTTACATGACGTGATACAAAATATCATAAAATAATCTTATTTCAAATAACATTTATTTACCGGCAAATGTATTGCTTTGATTACTGATTGCCACTAACGTGTTTCGAAACATGAAAATTCTGAAGGTACGAGACGTAACAGAGCCGTGAATGGTGATGACTATTGTTGTCACAGTACTATATGATTATACTATTTTGTAACCGGCGCGGCCGACGGTGCCTTGTAGAATAAGCGTCGTGAGTCAAGTCCATTTGTATGTTAATTCCGTGAATTTCTGACATAACGGAAACTTGGCATTAGCCAAATGTTTGTCCCGTCCACAGTGCCAGGAGACTCTAGAGTTATGTTTATTTTTTACAGCGCTATATTGTCATAACGTAATACCGTAGTCGCAAGTGACACGACTTGAGGACAGATTGCAACAATAATACGCAACATCTCTCTCGTGAACATTCACATTAATAATATGCGTTATTAATACGGAGAGAGACTCCGCTATTGTTTTTCAAACTCTTTTTCTGTTCGTCTTCAAATCAAAGTTCAAGAAGGAAGAGAAAAAAAACGACAATAATCTCTTTTGCGCTTCTGCTTACAAATTACTGTAATTTTTGGTCATGTTGTTTTCCACTGAGAGCTGTTTCGAAGTTTTATGCGATATGTATACCGTAAATTTCGTACGTTTTGCATCGATCGTAAACGTCAAATTCTGTCTTTCTAGATTGTCCACAAGCAATTCAACTCGCCGATCGGACTCTACTCGGATCAAAACATCGCGGACACTATCAAGTGCCAAGCGTCCGCCGTACCGTAAGTAATCAATCACTGTACTCACGCGATTGTTCACCAAGTTCTCTCTTAACTAGCTTTTAACCACACTGAAATCGATTTTAGCACATACATATATATGTAACGAATCGCTAATATGCCGCGATGCTTGCAGCAGTCACTGGTTAATATAATTAATACAAAATTGGCTTTATCGCTAAATGCCGCTCACACGCTCGTAAATCGCTATCATGTATTTAATAAAAATCGTGTGCAAAAAAATCTAATTTGTCACGTTATGAAATTAACAGGTTAATTTGCACAGTTGATAATCGCAGTGGAAGACGAGTGAAACTCAAAGAAGTCGAACACGAATTTATTCTGGGAAATAAAATGAATTTTTATTAATCTCTATTATCCACGTATTTCGTATAGGCGTGTATTTTAATCCACGAATCGTTAGCGATTTCCACAAGGAAAGTAATTTTCCGAGATTTGTTTTTAGAAAATAACGGAACGCGAACGAGAGAAAAATAAAATTATCTCTTTCGGAAAACGACGTTTCGACGAAGGCTGTAAATCGGGAAAAGAAATTACCAATTGGAGAAATATAAATCGAGTTTATACTTACTTTACTCGGAGGGCGCACGATCGTCGATCGTTAAACGAGAAGGGACACATCTCGGCTCCTTCTCTCTATTTTCCTATACGGCACTCTCGGATCCTCCTGATGATTGATTACTTACGTAGCGGTTTGTTTGTTTTCCAGCATTTTTATAGACTTTTCCTTCCTGAAACAGAAACAGGAAATACAGGAGCAAGCGAGAATCTTGAAAGAGCAGGCAAAGGCCGCCTCCTCGAAGAACGTGTGGCCGCAATTCAATAGACCAAATTAAAAATTATCGAGAGACGTTCGAGACGTTTTCCGATGCTTCTCGCACGTCGGATCTACGACGGCAGAGTTTCCCGGTTTTCATGTGTGGACCCGTTGGACACGTTCCCTTGTTAAAGTTAGCGAATTATACATTCGTCTGTCGGGATTGTTAGATTATTAACTTAGAAATTTATTATTCAGCTTAATGAGAAGAAAAAAGTTTTTAAATTTTCAACAAATTTGAAAAATTAAGATTATCGAAGGATTCGAGAAATAATTATTACAAGTTAACAGAAATATTTTGGATTTTCATTGAATTTACAATTCGATAATTTTGCCATGTTGTCATTAAAATCTCACAACTATTTGTTTCAAACGCGAAAAATCTTTCTACTTGTTAATAATAGTTTCATTAAATCTGGAATTTTAAAAAATTATTTAATTACCGATAAGCAGTTTAACACAGCGAACGTGACCACTATGCGAGTCCCTCAAAATGATTGTGCGATTATTTATTTCGGGTTAACTTGCCGTTCATATTACATAGTAGAAATTGTAGATACGAATTATTTGACGAAATTGTAAAATACGTTTCGTAGTGCCTCCGCGAATCCGTGCAAAAAAGCTTTTCCTTTGGCAGTAAATTCTTGCATGTAGCAAAGTAGTGAATAATCAATAATGAATACAGTAGTTAAGAATATGTGAAAATATCTACTAACTTCGTTATTTTCTTAACGAGTGTTCGTATGCTTGTATCGTAGATACCGTGCGCGAATAATTCGAGACGACTTTCGAAAATTGCGCCGTTAGAAATATTTCTATTTTTGCCGCATCTTTTGAAACGACGGGCACCGCACAGAACTTAACAATGGGAATAAAAATAATCTGAAAATTATACTTGCAAGAATTATTAATAAATAATAAGAGTGTATAAGTAAAAATGTATTAAGAGTATATTTTATAGAATATTTTTCTTTCTTTTTCTTTCTTTATTAATATATGATTTATTTATTTATTTTTGTATCGAGATTTTTATACCATCGTGGGTTTAAAAAGTAGAATTTTGACGGGGAGAAATAAAAGTACATTTTATTAAAAATTAAAAACCTTGCTTAATTTATTAAATTTCTAAAATTTTGGAAAAGTGCGAGCCTTTTTCAGTTTTTACGATCCTAAAAAGGGATTACTTTTCTACTCTTTTTCCGAATATTTTTTTTCAAAGGCGAAAGGCGCAATTTTCGAACTGTCCGACGAACGCGTTCTTCTTGATCGGGCATGCACGCAGGGTTTGCACGATGAGGAATGACCGCTCTTTCTCGATTGAACTGGAGGACGCGTCTGAAAGTCGCTCTCGAACAGAACTAAAGCAAACATAAGTAGAAATGTGCAAGCGCGCAATTGGCAAACTGTAACCCCGGCCGCTGCTAACCGATCCGGATAGAAAATACAAAACAAAAAGAAAAGTAAAGAGAAAAGAAAAAAAGTCGCACGTGGGAGAGAACGAAAGCGAAATTAAAAGTCGTCCCCTGTGTACACATGCGGTACGTGCAGCCTGAAGAAGCCGATCAAGTACGATCCGAGCAAGAGCGAGGCGTACAAGGCCCTGCAGGAGGAGGAACTCGGGGATCATGTGCAGGAAGTCAGGCAGCCGGCTCGCACCGGTGTCTTCACGCCGCAGAAATCGAACAGGGTACGTATATCCTTATTTCCCAGCAATTCCACGCTCAATTCTCTCGAGGCTGATTTTTTCATCTCGGTTCAATAAATTCTTATCTTTTTCCTGAGGAAAAAAATTCTCATATCTTAATTATAATATTTCAGAGTTTTTTATACTTAAAAATTTATAAAATTTCTGAAAAACACCTTAAGCTTTTTCAGAGCATTTTATGCGTTTTCCTTGAAAATTATAAAAAGAAAAATCTTAAAATATTTTTAGAATTCATATAGGTATATAAAGAATTTTAGAATTTTAGAAGAAAAGATACAGTGTTCCAATTCCAAAAAAATTGAGAAATTTTTCAGAAAGTTATAAAATTGTACACAGAAAATCCTGAAAAAATATAAAAAATTATCGCCAGGATTGGCATTAAATAAATCTGTGCGTTAAGAAACGATGTTCAACGTTACGATTATTTGTTGCACAGGTGTACCAGGCGCCGCCGAAGAGTCCCGCATACGCCGTAAGTATTCGCATAATCCTCGCTCAGATTCACGATCGATTTTGCGGGGCGCACAGTAGAGAAAATTTTGCCGGGCTGAAAACCACGCATTCTTGGGAATGCATCTCTCGCACGCATGTCGCCGCATGAATTCTGTGCAAGAATTTCAGAGCTGTCGCCGCAGCTGCGTAGACTACTATATTCTCGAAGCGAACTCGAGAGAGTATAGGCTCCTCTCATCCCGCGCGAAAATTTCGTTCAGCCGCGTCGCTCATCTCGCGGAACCGAGAAGCGTCGAATTGTTGAAAAGAGAATTTCAACGGGGAAAAAAATTTTGAAAACATTTCTCTCGCCGCCGAAACGGCCCGATAATCGATTTTCACATTACTCACGTTTATTATTACCGTGTCACTTATATATTGTCCGCCATTTATTTACCGGGAAGATTTATCGATCACTGGCCCGGCGCCGCGTACTCTATAAGTTACCCAACGCAGTCGGATTATATAAGTGACTTGGCACGGGGCGCTATTTCTCCTGTACTTCTTTCTTTTTCGTCTACCGAAGCACTGTGCCAAGGCGTCTCTCGGTAATAATCGGCCGCCGCGTCTCACCGTCGAAATATCGCGCGAGGCTTCGACATCTTCTTTAAGTCTGCAAAACAAAAAAAAAAGATATCGTGTCGAATCGTTTTAACGACAATCACCTCATATCAATGTGTCTAACGTACATTATCGCCACTAACGATAACCGCCATCGGTCGAAGACGCCACCGATCTAATCTTCGACATCTGTTTCGTTAAGGGTGGATCGTATAGACGTCCCTTCCCCCTCCCTTTCGTTAAGGATCTTATCAACGACTATTAAAATTTTCGCAGGAACCTGTACGTGCGATACTATTTTCTGATACTTTTGCATAAAACGCTCGCCTGCTTGCGCGTAGAGGAATATTAATTCGTAGAGCAAATACGCTCTTATCGTGCTATACTACCGGCTGTTTTCTATGTGATGCGCATTAAGTCGCTATACGAATGCATGCATGCCGCTTTACGAGAAAATATATCTTATTCGTGGCACAATTTAAAACGTAGTTTCATTTGCGGAGCACCTTCGTAATTTGGAGACGTGGAGAGCGGCTGCGAATGATTCAATTTTCAGATAAACGTGCTCGACGACGACGGCGAGAAGATCCATCAGAGCAACAGCTTCAAGAGGATCATGTACAGTGTGCTGGGGCAGACCGACTATTAAAGCCGAACTGACGCTATGAATATAATATATCGTTTATTAATGTTAAATAAATCTATATATTTTATTTATTGTACTACGCGAAATAAAACGGATGTCGAGCTTAGGCGATTTTAAATTACGTTACTGCACTGGCAAAAGTGGTCTAAGGAGCGCGCGAATTTGACGAAAAATCCACTCGACATTCATTGCTTGTCCGATAAAACGCAGTGCCGTGTATCTCTTAAGCGGTAGTAATAATAGTTTACTTTAATACGCGCCGAATTAGTACGTGGCTTGCAACAAATTGCGTATATTCTACTCGAGATTAATATTTTTCGCTGGCCTGTGCACCAAGATAGCTTCCCCTCTTTCCATATCTCGATGTATCTATTTTTTGACTATCTATTTACACACTATACTATACTTTTAACATTGCGCACAATGAAAAATTAATTTTCACAAGATACGTTGAGTTTTTTTCCTCCTCCCCTTTCTCAAATTATTCGTTAATTTAATTCGGAATCGATCTTTCTTCCTGCGAGGTTCAAGTATAATTAGTCGGAGAGAGAAATATCGCAAGTTTGTCTTGAAAAAAAATCTCAAAATCAGCAATAGAAAGAACAGCTGTATTCCTCTTTTTCCGATTGTTTTTCAAGTATTTCACAGTACAGTACGATTTCTGATCGGCTAAAATTCTTATTTTCTGTTCTCTATTCCTTTTATTCTGCGCAGCCCCTTATGTAAACTAATGCGAAGGGAGTAACATTGATCAGACATGTGAGACGATGAGACAATTTAATTCAATCAGCAATAAGATACTACAATATCGGGCGTAATAATATCAGCGGTGTTTGCTAAACGAAATTTTTAAGTGTCAGACGTTATGTGTTTGACAGGAAACTTTTTTTTTTAAGCACATACGTGTATCGTGTATTACGAATACACGATGATACAACGGATAGGAACAAGTAGAATGGCCTAGTACTGTGGCTTTTGCTGAACTGACAATAATATCGTGCTAGATCGATAGAGATATATATATATCACATAACTATCGTTTCGTACGCATCAAACAAAATAACAAGCCCGCTCTCTCTCATCATCGACTGCTTTCCGACGATACAAAACGAACATTACGATACGTACGCTCTCTTTTTTTTTCCTCGATCAGCGCAAAGGCGATATAGCTTCTCCAAATTTCTTCGTGCGTCCCATCTTTCAAAACGGTACAGATAGACGAATATTAATTAAATACTACGCACCTTCGCTACGCCATGCGCGCGGCCCACGCGCGAGCCACGGCTCTTTCCTGGCTAAATAATAATTATTATTAAAATTAATTCCTAAACGCTATTAGGTATTACTAATTTGTCTTCTACTCTCAATACTCTTCACTGAGAGCTGCATCCGTCGACACTGTCCATGGGGTAGCACTAGGGCCTCGGTCGCGACACGAAATTTTCAAGTTCAAACGCGGATCGAGGGATCCGAGTTCGATGCACTTCTATTACTGGCACTGAATATCGTGTCGGCGCAACCGAGGCCGAGACGAGACACATTCGATCTCGAGAGATTAGTGCTACGACGTCACACGTCGAAGAAACGTGCTGCGTAATCCGCCAATCATTTAATTTTTTATAAAAACAGCGACGATAAAAAGTTAAAGTGATTGGCAACAGTCTCATGGCGCAAAAAATAAATTACTAGAGAAAAAAAATTGGCCATACATGTACCCCGTAGCCCCTTTCGCCATGGACAGTCTCTCCGGTCTGGAGTGTACTACAGGACTGTTGTGCTACACGTTAAAATGTTACGCGCTGCGTAACATTGCATAAATTAATAATACTTTCCCTTTCTGCAATCTTATCGACTTCACTCGAAATTAATTTAGAATAAAGTACGAACAGGCTGAAGTACACAGAACAACGCGGACGCACGAGTGTTTCACGTTTACGTTTAAAGATCAATGGACTAGCAAGTTTCTCTTTTGTGTTCGTTTAAATATACGTCTGTAAAACTGACGTATATAAACCTAAAATTCGACTGAAACCACATCATTCAGACTTACACACGAAATCGTGTCGATTATCATAATAATATTTATATAATCATCAAATATATAAGACGAAAATTCACATTCAAACGTAAAGAATGAAATACATGTAGATGAGTAACCGATTGCAGAATAGCATGAGCATAGCTAAAAGATAATAAATTAGTAATCGACATTCAATTAAATTAACGTTAATCAAAAGCTATCACAGTTTAGCCTGTGTATGTTTACATGTGTTAATGAGAGGGGGGGGGGAGAAGAAGGGGGAAAAAGAAAAAAATGAAAAAACAAGGGACTACATTTTGGAATTTTGGATGAACGAGCGTGAAACATTCGTGCGCGCGTATGAATTTAAAACGTAGAAGTCGCCATTGCGAAGAAATCGTTTAAACGGCTACGGTGTAATCTCTGTTCTGTGGTGTATGTCGAGCAGGACACAAAATTGTAGTAATAGATACATTAAGGTGTGAGAAAAATAAATAAACTTTCAGTTCTACACGTAGCGCTAAGAAAGGATCATTAAAAGCTGAGGGAGTCGTCGACCAGCTGTTTGAGTTCCTTGAGATGTTGCATTTTGCTGCCAGTGGCGGGCGACGATGCAGTGGGACGTCCAGCGTACCTGAAACATCAATATGGGATTCCTCAAAATTGTGAAATAAATACAACTTGCTTTTAAAGGGCAATTCATTTACGACATATGTACATCGACAACATCAGTCAACTTCTACTGATAAAAAAAGTCACTTTGGAACTACTTAAAAAGTTCGAAATGCAAGCATTACCATAATGATAGTAAGTTTATATAATTGTGTAATTAATTTCACATATAATTATTTTATATTTTCATTTGTGATGCAATTGCAAAAATTAAACAAATTTTATAATGATGAATAAAAATAATAGTTTATGATACTTTCAAAATAAATGTTCATACATAAATGCAAATTAATTTAGAATAATTTTCCGTTAAATAATCCAATTTTCCGTCGGCCATCTCGCCGATTTTATTACCTCACTGTTCTTTGCTTTGGTTCAGTAGATTCAGTAGATTCTTCCGTTGACTGCGGCTCTGACACAGTTGTGATTTTAGTCGGTTTGGGCGACGAGAACAAACCGGCAAACCACCCTTGACCACTCGTATCTGACACGCTACTGCAACACACGGCCCAAATTTTTCGTTTTTATTGTTTTATGAAACATATATCTATATATAGAACGAGGAAAGCAAATAGCGTACAACTTATAACTTATAAAAAAAGACAACTTATATAAAAAGATAACAGAAGCACATTACTTTGAATACGTATATCGATTACGAAATTTTGGCGCGTCGCGCTCATTGTCGCAAAATAAAAAATGTGGGCCGTGTGAAAGATATAAAAAATAAAACGCAACCATAGTGTAATATGGGTGCATTCACACATACGCACATACATACATATATACACATTTTACTGTCAATTTATTTGGATACTTACACTACGTTTCGGGTGCCATTGAGCGCCGTGTGGAACCTAGGCTGCACGTAGGTCCATGCGCCTTGGTTCTTGTGCTCCTCCTGAGACCATATCAATTCCGCATTGGGATATTTAGCAGCCTCTTTCTTGACGAGATCGTACGGGAAGGGCGAGATCTGCAGTAGAACCAAAATCGATTAAAATATTAATATATTAAATATTTTAACGTGATTAATTATGTATTTCAAAGAAATTCATCAAACACGATACGGTTATCCCAAAAATGATGACTGACCTGTTCCACTCTCGCGATCGCAATTTGGTCCTCCATCTTCCGTTCCGCGCGCGCCTTCTTCAGGTCGTAATAGACCTTGCCGGAGCAGAACAGCAACTTCTTGACACCGTTGGGATTCTGAGCCGCTGTACCTTCCTCGGGTATCACTCTGAGGAACTGCGTGTCCTCCAGCATCAAGTCGAAGTTGGACTTAGCCTCCGGATGACGGAGTAGCGACTTCGGTGTCATCAGGATCAACGGCTTCCTGAACGGTAGCGCAATCTGTCGTCGTAGGATGTGGAAGTAATTGGCCGGCGTGCTGCAGTTGGCGACGATCCAGTTACTATCATGCAGCTGACGAACAGCAAACTCTTCGCTCTCCGGTGGGAAATAATCCGGATCATCAGCGGACATTTGAAGGAAACGTTCCAAACGAGCGCTAGAGTGCTCGGGACCCTACGAAAACAAGAGAAATTTAAAATCAACAAATAAATTACATTGTGGGATGATGTGGGAAAATAATTGACTTGTCGGGTTGATTCGCGTATGCCTCAATTTTACGTAAGATTGATTGGAGAATTAAAGGCGTAATGAGAAAACTGAAAGTGAGGTAAATGATAACCCGTTTCGGGAATCCATATTTCATATTTAAAAAAATAATTCATGTTGTAAAATAATTTAACGATGTGGATTTACCATTCCTTCAAGACCGTGTGGTTGCAACATGACCAGACCGGATTGTCTAACCCACTTGGCTTGACCGCTGCTGATGAACTGATCAATTATACATTGCGCCGTATTGTTGAAGTCTCCGAATTGAGCTTCCCAGCACACCAATGCATTAGGATTCGTCATAGAGTAGCCCAGCTCAAATCCTGCAATTGCAGTAAAATCATTGTAATATGTACAAATTAAAAACAAAATAATTATACACGTGAGACATTTCTAAAGTACTAAAGTACTAAAAATCTATAATTTATATTACAAATAGTTTATAGACTTTTAGTGTAGTCAATAAATTTTGGGAACCAAAAATCCGTAATTATATCAGAATTGTAAAAATTGCAATCTAACCGAGAACGCCGAATTCAGACAAGGAACTGTTGCACACTGTGTAAGGTGCTTGATCAGGATACAAGTAGCAGAGTGGCCTGTAAGTCGCCTTGTCAACAGTCTGATGATGCAGCACGTGATGCCTGTGAGAGAATGTTCCTCTCTCCACGTCCTGGCCTGACAAACGAACGTGAATACCTTCCTTGAGGAGAGAACCGAAAGCCATAGCTTCGCCGAGAGCCCAGTCGACGGTTCTAGCCTCAATCATCTCCATGCGAGATTTTAAGATTCGTTCGATACCTGTAAAATAATTACCATGTTTTTTCGTAATCATACTATGTAGACTACACGTATTGCTTACATAAATTGTCATTAAACTTTTTTAAACATATTTTTATACGTTTTCAATTTTACAATATGTTTTATTTCTGGCTTCTTTATTTTATATGTCTTTGTTTTCAGAGAAAATAATATTATCGTATTCATCTTCTAACGCTGCTGCACTCACCTTTGTGAATGACGAACTCAGCGGCATTCGGCGGCGGCGACGAGAATTTCTTTCCAATATGTATGAGCGTATCTTCCTTGATACCAGTGGGCGAGACCTTCAACGGGTCTTTTCCTTCGAAGAAACCGGACCACGGCGAATCCAACCAGTCTTTGTACTTAATATGTGTCTCCTGCCTGGCGTTGTTGTATGCCTCCTCGCAGATCTTCTCGTACTTGTCTTTGACATCCTGAAACGTAAGAATAGTCGCTTTTATCGTAAAAAAGTAATTATTTGAAATACAATTACGTGCGTGACTTTCGCACCTTAACTTCCTCAGGAGTGACGACACTATTATCGAGGAGCGAGTTGGCATACTTGTCGAGAGCTGACAAAGTGTTCTTGATCTTACGATACATCAGCGGCTGCGTGAACATCGGTTCGTCGATCTCGTTGTGGCCGTTGCGCCTGTAGGAGACCAAATCGATCACGACGTCCTTGTGGAAGGTGGCCCTCCACTCCGCCGCTACCTTGCACACGTGCATCACGGCTTCGGGATCGTCGGAATTCACGTGGAAGATGGGTGCGTTCACCACTCGGGCCACATCTGACAAATAAATCCGCGATAATTAATGTCATTGGAAAATAAAAACACGACTCGATTTTCCACCAGTGAATACCAACCAGTGCAGTACGGCGACGATCGTGAATGCCTCGGGTCGGTGGTGAAACCGATCTGATTATTCACAACAATATGGATGGTGCCGTGTGTGGTGTAATCAGGCAGGTCAGACAGATGCATTGTCTCGAAGACAATGCCTTGACCGCAGAACGCAGCATCTCCGTGAAGAAGAATGGACATCACCTGGAATATACATAAAATTATACTCAGCAAAATAAATCAATATTCGAATCAATAAACGCAGTCAAGATTTTATAGTTGCATCACACATGTATATTATTGGATAATATTTAATCATTTCAGTAACCATCTAATCAACTTGAATCTCACAAATTTTAAACTCATTTTTCCTTATTTGGACCGCTCATTGCCATATTATATAATAATCTAATTGTAAAAAGTATTCAAGGTAATTTCATATATATGGCTCACTTTTTTGCCTTCGCCGTCGCCACGGTAGAATTGCTCGGCGCGTGTTTTGCCTTGAACCACCGGATCCACGGCCTCCAAATGCGATGGATTTGCAACGACGGCCAGACGAATGTTCTTGTTCGTCACTCGATTAAGACGCTCTATGTACGTGCCCAAATGATACTTCACATCGCCGGAACCCTGAAATTCACTTCATCGTTACCAGAATTCTCGGATCGACAAACTTGCCGCGGTAGCAAAGTACACCTTTCTACATAGCTCTAAAGAGCTCAAAGAGTTTCGTTCTATGCTTACATCGTCAGCGGCTTCGAGCGCAGCAAATTGTGTGAAAATTTGACTCAGTGGTTTGCGACAGACATTAGCGAGAACATTGAGACGACCACGGTGAGGCATACCCATGACAATCGACTCGACTCCCAGTTCCGTCGACTTATCGATCACTTGTTTCATAGCTGGAATCAAAATTTCGCAACCCTCCAAGCCGAATCTCTTCTCAGAGGACCATTTGCGCGCCAAGAATGCCTCGAATCTGTAATTCACACATTAAAAATCGCTTACTCTCAGTCACGTTTCTTACAGAAAGTAAAACAAATATGTAAAAAACTGAAAATCTGAATTCCATATTTTCACGTGTCGATAGTGTAATTTTTCTTTAAAAAGTAATATTTTGGAAAAAATGCCTTTTAAGTATAAATTATATGATAAAAATAAAAAATAAAAAGAAGAATTAAATACTTTGGTTTTCCTGAAAATTTTCAACTTCAAAGCTAACACGTTTTCTTGGAATTCAGATATTTTATTAGCGTCGATATTATTACCCGGTTGCGCGTGTCAATCTGGCTAAAATAAGCCTCTTCTCGTCATTCGTCACTTCCATGATCCCGGGCGTTTCCATCTTCTGCCTGATCCAATTGCACTGCTCCAAGGAGTTGATGAACATGAACTCGACACCGATGTGACCGCAGTAAGCGGCCTCGAGTCGTTTCAGGATCTCACGCAACGGCAATGATTTCTCCTTGCCGCCGATAAACGTGGTGGATGGTAATTTGAATACCCGATCCATGTCCGACTCCTCTGTATTAATCATTTGGAATGAAAAATATGCGTTTTACATAAATATTCCAAGCATTCCCAATCGAAAGATTTTGCTACAGTTCTTATATATTTATATACTTATATAAAACCATAACGTTAAAGTATATTACGCGTTTATTTTGCTTTTATTTAATATAAAATGATTCATTTGCCATAAATATATAAATAAAATATAGTTGTATAGGTTGAATTATGTCGAAATATGTATTTTTCTTTTCATTCGTTCTATTTAAAACTGATACTGAAAATGTGCCTCTTACGCGTGATACTTTAAAAGCTTTCTATTTCCAACAGCAATTACTTTTAGTACAAAATTTAACAATTATTACTTTCAATTTGTAAAAATATTTAATATACATCGCATACGTAAGTGTTCCTTTAATAGATACAATGTTCACATATTGTAAAATATCTGCTGAAACGAACAGCATCATGCAGTATATACTTCCAAAAGATACGTAAGGATACTGACGGTCACAACATAACACTATACGCACGACAGTGCAAACAAATACTAAAAAACTGAAAGAAAAACGAAGTACTTTGATGCAGAAGAAAAGCCGTGAGCTTAAGTGAAGCGTCGTTAGTTGAAACAACAACCACCACTGTACCAACCATTTGAAGATGTTTCAAACAAACTAAAAAGACGTAACAAAAAATATACAGCAAAGAAGACAGTATAAAATTGCGGTGAGAAACATAGATAAAACACAACATAGATAAAAGAAAAAGAAAATACATGTTAGGAAATGTTCAGTCAGAGATAATATACGCAACACTTCGATTTGAACAGAGAAAGAGAGAGAAAGTAAAAGAGGAACAAAACTCAAGTTTCTTTTCTTTTTGGCCAAGTTTTACATTCATATTTATAATCCAGCTATATTAGATATTCGTGACACACTCAAATGTCCCTCCTCTAATTCCTCCGCGGTAAAGACGTTTGAAAACTACCTGTTGCCCCTGAATATCTTTTACGTAGGCGAGATACAGGTTTACACAGAAGATCCCAAGCACAGGCTTTCGGCCGAGAAAACTATATCTGATTCGGTGCAAACCCAAAAAAAAACAAAAAAAAAACGGACCAGTGCCTCCCAATATGCTAGCGTATAAGAGAGAGCTTTACGGGAAAACCCCGGATTTGGGCAGCGATTGCTACATACTTTTCATTAGGACAGCTACTCGGTATTGGAGTTCCTGCGAGAAAGTAGTGCGTGGTCTCTTCCCTGTGGACATTAGACTTAAACTCAATAGTCGGATCGAACAATGATCCCCAAAGATTCGGCTTCTTTACTTACTACTACCTGCATTCAGCTTATACTTTGCTCGTAATAAAACGAGAAATTTATAATAAATTAATCGATAAATCTAGATCTCTGATTGATAATTAAACGTGTTGCACATTTTATCTTTTAGTGATATCGTTTTTTGGTACCGCAGTGATACCGAACCAACGGTTGTGCTCGCGCGAGATAGAGAGAATAAAAAAATAATTAATTACGAAAGTGGTGCTATACTGAAAAAGAGTTAAGCGATAAACTGAATTACTGACGTGGTGAATGAATAACGTGAAGCAAATAAAAAAACTTTACGCTACGTTTCCATGTGTACGAACCATTTCACAGATTGAAATATTCACTTGAATCACATTTAAAATTATAACACATTTAAATTAAACATGAGAAGAAATTAAATGCAGCAATTTTATGCAACAGCAGCCTGTAAAGTAAGTTTCTACACGGAAAATTATTACTCGAGAATATACTCGAAGTTATATAGTCACGATATTGCGTTATCGATTAGCATGGAGCTTAATTAGAATTTTCAAATGCATCGACGATGCATTTTTCTTTAAGAGCGTAATTTCTTTTTCATCATAGTTTACTCATCTCATATTTACGCAGAAACACGTTCAATTAAGCTTACCGAATGAATAATGGGTATAGAGTAATTCTTGCGGATGTCTATCGTCAAGATCAGCGCTGTTGATGCCGAGTGGATCCAATTTAGCGATATGATGGCCACGAATCTGTCAATTTAATGCCACATTCATGCGAACCAAATAGTTTTCAAATTCTCATTTGATTTAAATATATATTTAGTCAAAATATAAATTACTGTGCTTGATGTTCTGCTATTGCAAAGAAATAGGTGCATCACGACATAGATAACACAATTGGTGCTTGATGCAAAGTTTTATCGTTATGCTCTCTTGAGAAAACATCATCACAGTAATTAACATTAAATATGCATATATTAAGATACAAAGCTAATGTCTTAACATTTGTAAATGTGTTATCTGCTCCTTTAGCTTCCCTATTATTAATGCGTTACATTGATCTCTGCGTTTAATTATGCGTTATATTATCTGTTTATATATAATTAATTAAAGAATAATAAAAAAGTGTTCCGCTCAAACGTCCCCTCATTATTTATCAATTCACACAAGAAAAATAATTGCGCGCAGCATATTAGTGTGTATAAATTTTAAAAAAGAGACAAGCATGCCAGACGAAAGAAAAAAATATGTGCAGGTGTCCAAAAGCAATACATAGATAATAACATATAGAAATCGTACATGCAAATTCAACAAAGGAATGCCTTTATTCTTACCTCCAACTTTTTACTCGCATATTATCGGGCAATGTATACGTATATATATTTATCTATTTTTACTCTCTGTCAAATATAAACGCGATGAATGCAGAATGAATAAATGTCATACTCGACATAATGCGCTTGCACATGAACATTCGAATTACGAAGTCAGATCATCGATTATTAATGAAAAGATGGGGCGTATCAATTCTATGATTCCCAAATAATGCTTTTCAATTCAAACATTTTCAGTATCAGTGTAAGTTTGTCACAATATAAGACTTGCAAAATAACCTTCCTTTTGCAGTACGTAATATTTGGTTTTGTAAAATTTTTTCCAACTCTACTACGAATAAATTAATTATAAGATATTTTTAATATTAAACAAAGAAACTTAAAAAAATATATAATAATCAAAAATATAAAATAATAAATTGTTTTCTTATTTTCACTTTATATAGATATCACTTCAACAGAAATGTTGAAATACGTTCCATACGTTGCAGAGAAAAAAAACCATTGAGATTGTCTTAAAATTGTGTCGCTTAAAATTTTGTCAAATAAGATTACAAATATTTCCACAACTATTTTCGTTATTATTTATTTTAAAAAGGTTCTTAGAATTTTATGCAAAAATAGAAGTCTAGAAGCTAGATAGAAGATGTTAATATGCAAAGATGACTACGTGAAATGATAATACTGAATGTATCGGAAAGGGATGTCTCGAGTGGAATTACGGTAAACACGGGCTGAATACAATTTTTGACTCTATAATATACGCATTTATACGCCACATATTCCAAACCAGTACAATGCTTTTAAAAAACGTATGGCACGTATGGCGAGAAAACACGTATTTCAAACAAAAAGCCCGTGGAAAATGCTCTGGAAGAAGCCTTACCAAGCATGTACTGTCGCAGCACTTGTTCTGGAGACCCCTTGCGAGCTGCATAATGCGTGTGTATCAGGTCTGTTTGCATAATACCCAGCGGGTCCAGATCGGCAACTAAGTGACCTCGGGCCTATACGCCAACGAATAGTCCCGAAAAAAACCTCACATTTATATAAACTGTGTCTACTCTCGCAACTACACTTGTACATATATAGTTACAATTGAGAAAAAAAAAGAAGCAAAACGGTGGCTATATACAGCGAAATTGACAAACAAGTATTCCATTTACATACGTTCTGATACTTGTAACATATAGAGTTGATATTTATTGCAACAGTGAAGGAATGGAATTCTCTTTCGTTTCGTGGTTATAATTTAACTACAGTAAAAAGATAATAGAATCATTGCTACAACTTGTCATGTAACTACCACAGTTAATAGTATTTTAATAAAATAACTAGAAAATAGTGTGCTGCTGCTTCTTCCTCAATAGAAATAACTGGACGTATTGAGCATAGGATGATAGATCATGACATTAAAAATCACAATTTGAAAAATTCCACTGTTTCTGTTGGGAAAAATGTAGAGATGCAAGACATGCTTGAAATAGAAGATGCAGTGAGCCACTAGCGTAGTCATACAAAATGAGACTATTATGCAATATTCGCTCATAATATTTGCTATTTTATACTCAATGCGTTTATCGTATAATCGTATGTTGACACGAAACAAACATAGTGTCAGAAAATTTGGAAACACACATGACAGCCCCTAACAGTAAGCAAAAATTACATACATACATTTCATGTCCCAAGCTCATATTGATATATTCATTGTACATAAAGTTTATATAGTATAAACATTCTAATTATTTTTCTAATTTCTTCGCAATGTTTTAAGATGCTTATTCGCATCGGATTATTAAAATTGAAGATTAATATAATTAATAATTTAATTTATTGTTTAATAAATTTAAAAATTTACATAAAAATATTATTAGACACTAAGATCCAGCCGTGGCCATATAAGAAGCTCTCAAATTAATTTGTGATATTCACTTACGCGGTTTACTTCAAATTACTATTATTCTAATCTATGTAATATATACGTACATATACGTTATTTTTATCGAAAGATGTTCTTATCTATTCCATATATAAATGAAACTGGGACACGAAAGGTTCGAAAATATTTTTGTTCAGCGGAATTTACATGCATACATATACATTGATGTATGTACGCTGTTTCAGTGCATGCCACAGTCATTTTCATAATATATAAATTTTAAAACGTAATATATAATGTAACAGCTTTTATTTCGACAATGACAGAGAGCTGAGAATTCATAAAATTTTCTTATCGCATTAGAATCTTTTAAACCGTTTAATTGCGTGACAATAGCTTTAATGTATCAATATAAAAAAAGTATATCAATGTTATTATTATATTATTCTTGTATTCATGCAGATTTTAGTAGATCAATTTAGTACGACTCTCCAGCAGATTTTCTCCAGGCTCCCATTTAATTAATTAATTAGACATGTTAAATAATAATAAAAAACAAAGAATATTACAATATTATGTCTTTATACAGATAATAGAGATAGGAGCAGAAAATTATCAAAAAGTATATATTTTCGTATAATTAAAGTATATTACTTTGAAAGCAATATTGAAAAAATTTTATTGTATTTATTTATTCATTTCGTTACCTAGGAAAATTATACACAGTTGAACAAAGCAATTTTCTTGCAAACAAAATAATACAAGTGGCAGCGACTAAGAGTTATCACCACTTGTATATTTTTCGTAAAATTACACCTGATAAACTGTCGTGTCCAAAATGTGTACTTGTTTGCAAGAGCAAGACGTTCGAAATTCATTACCAGGGATAAAGCAAACAAACTTCAAATATCATACCTGATAAGAGCGAATAATAGCTTGCACCGCTAGATGGTCGTCAATGATTTTTTCATTAACGGGCGCCTGGCCGAGTTGCGTTCCGCCACCCAGGGGCAGCAGTGCTCCGAGCGGTACTTGGTTGTAACTCGGAGCGAGGGATGGTGGTGCCTGATACGCGAATCCTGGGGAAGCTCCAGCGGTGCTGTTTCGAAAGAAGGAATCCCATGACTACAAATAAACAAAAATAATAAGTAAATTTAAGGAAAACTTTTTCCATCTACAACATATAAATGAACAGTATACAATCAAATATCTTCTACAAAAGAAAACAGTGAACGTACATTCTTCTTGCCTTTTCAACGAGCTTTAATCAATTTTAATTCTCCCGACGATGAGTAATCTTGATTTTCGTGATTTATATCTTTTCAATTATTATTATACAAGAATGCATTTATACTTACAATGTGCACGCTGTTCGGATCTTGCAGCCACGCATTGTACATCTCCTCCACGTAGGAGCTGGAGCTGCCATTCAAGAAGGGCTCGGTTGCCGCCCGGCTGTTGTACTTGCGCGCGGGCCCCGTAAAGATCACCTGGCTGGTCCTGGTCAGCGGATGACTGCGGACCACCCAGGACGCGTATCTCTCGGGCCCGCATACGCGCGGCGCCAAGGGGGCCAGCGTACTGAATATCGTCCTTGCCTTGTACATTTTTCACCTGTAACACAACACACGGCGGAAGGTCATTTCACGATTGCCTTATCTCGCTACCATATCGTCGATGTGGAAGAGATGTTAAATAAGCTAATGAAACTGCGTAAACACAGTTACCGATAAGGCACACTTATAATATTATACGCGTTATTTAAATGTCTCGAGTGAAACTGAACGGATACGCGATATCCGAAGACCGCGCACTTGCATTTAAATTAAGCGAAGCTTCAAGTGTCGCGCGCTCGGTCACATGAGGCATTAATGAGGATATAAACTTTGATAACCGCGTATAGTGCCAATGTGTGTTAAACCAATCCAAGCACGTACAGTCACAATCTGATTTGTCTGGCCTTATCTGCTGCAGACTGTCGCCTTATCATTGTTCTCATTGCATCATTCTGAAATTCTTAGACTTCGCCTGCACGTCGTATCCATTGATTATACTGAAGAAACGCGGGGAATGTCAAAGGCGCATTTTGCAATTGTGTAAGCACGATTCGTATACGTAGGCATCCCCACATGTTGCAATATATACCTATATACGCGCGCTTGTTTGTGCAAAGGTTAAATAAAACCACAGATATATAGACGCGTTCGTAAAATTCGCTACGCTTCATCTTAGAAATACAATTGCGTTATTAGGCGTAATACGCCAAATTTGAAATAATTTCATGTCACTCAACAAATTACACATTATTTTTGTACAGCTGTTTCGCAGAGCTCCAAGAAAAAAGATTATTATATAAAATTGAGAAAAATATACAATATACAAATTGATTGATATTTATATTGTAAAAAAGGTTTCTACATTTTACTGTGCTTTAATAAATGTACCATAAATATTGAGGCGTTACAGGTCTATTTTTGAGAGCTGGCTCTCTTCCAAATTGCGTAACGTGGTTTGAGAAAAAAATATGTGAAAAATCTCTCACAAAAAAAATTAAAAATGTTATTGACAGAACGCGTATAAGTATATACTGTCTATATATTTATGTATAAATATAAAATTGTACCAACATTGCGTCAACAGATTCTCACGATACATTTGTAGCGATTCACAAAATGCTTGTCTGAAGTATTTCCTTTCAAAAGCGGAACAAAGGCAAACAAATATTGTACACGAACAAAGCCATCGAAGTGTGCACTATCAAGACTTCCAGATAAGCCTTTACAGACGTCATTCTGTCTACCAGAAAGGCGTAATATTTCTAAGATATTCTAAGATAAAAACACATTGAAATACTGCTGTTTTTCTTGGCATAAGAAATGAAAACAGTATTTCTTTAAAGAAAAAAAAAATCTTCCCACTGTTTCGAAACTGACAGTCTCAAATTTCAATTCAAACGACTGCATATTTATGGAATATTTACAGAATACTTATGGGCACTACATTAACTCGAAACCTTGAGAGCAAATTTTAACGTGCAGCCGAATTGCGACTCGAAAATACGTCTCGGTAATCATGCTTAAATTGACCATTATCAGTTACTATTTATTTAACACAGCGCAGAATCAAATTAGACTTTGCTTCTCAATTAAGATAATTCCAGTGATGGAGGCGGAACATCTGACGTCACGTACGTGCCCCTTTCTTTCCGAGATCAGATTGCGAGATAAAAAGGCTATCAAAGGCAGATAACGAGAGAGAGCAAGTAGAAAAATTCTCATTAATACTTCCTTTCACTTCAAACAGATCATAAAATCAGACAGTAAACTTAAGCCGTTTCAGTAAACGAAGGCCGTCGGGTACCGCTCTTTCACCACGGATCGCCACAGTATCCTTACAAAATATACACGATTATATCGCATTTACCTCCGACCAGTCTACTACTCCCGCGGCTTCCTTAGTTACAGACACCCAGAGAATGCGGAAAAACGAGGAAAAAAGATGTAGTGTCGTGAGGAGAAAAACTCAAAGTCCGACTGACACACGGGTAAGACCGTCTCGAATCCGTTCCGAGGCGATCGCTGGCCTCGTTCGCGCACATGTGACTTGACTACCGGGAAAAATTGCACGAGCTCTCCCTGTCTCCTGACGTATAAGAGAGCCGACGAGATCGCTGGAGGTGGGGAATGAATACCTGACTGTCAGCTCGCTCGCGCTCACGTCAGAAATGCAGATGCGAATACCCGATGGTCGGTCCCGGAGAACGCGGCCGCGCGCCGTTACTTGAATTTGTATACGCACCAGCTTCGCACATCTGTTACAATAAAAGCGTACACGCAAAATCAGTAATTACATATACTTGCGAGTTTATGCTAGCTTTACCAACGAAAGACGGTTAAAGACAAGATAATATCGATATTCATACAAACGTATAGGCTTACTTTTCCAACTTACAAGCAAGGGCATGTAGAAACGATATATAATTCGAACATCCATTCTAATTTATTATGTTGCAATAAATAAAAATCATATTTTATTATAAATAACAGCATTCATTTTTTTTTTGTATTTTTGAAAAATTCTCTATTTAATTCTACAATTTAGGTTTATTGTAACACATCGACGAAGACTATTTATCGCGCGAACTACACGATGTGAGATTGCACGTCCATTATTTTTCAGCTATTTCCAGTTTTTTTTTTCTTAAATTAGAAATTAGAATAAGTGAAAAAATGCAGAGGAATCGTATAACGGACAGATCTTACATTTGACTTCACTCACAGTGAAACAGATAGATACTCAATCCTTCAAGAAAAAGGGAAAATTTCGAGTTTCGAGAAACCTTAAAGAGTTCAGACCGACCACGTGTGTGTGCACGCTTCTTTTGGCAGCACGTGTCTCATTTGCCGCGCTTTAGCCTCTTTCCCTTTTCACCTTGTCCTTCTCCCTACGGGATTGCGAGATGCTCGACGATGACAGAAAGGCAAATGAGACAAGCATTCGCATTTTCTCTTTCACACAGTCAAAAGCGAAATTACTTTGCGGCCCCGGAGAGAAGTCAAAGCGCAAAAAAAGCGGGCTTGTCGCAGTTCGGCAACAAAAAAAAAAGAGAGAAACTGGAGAGACTGAACGATTGATGAAGTGGAAAACGTTGAATGGAGAGAAAAACGTACGTGCGTATATATGCGAGCCTGCACGTGACTCGATCGAGCTGATCAAGCAACCGCGACGGAGGATGACGGACACACTGACGAGTCGCTGACAAGCGTGTGACGAGAACTGGGGCTAACGAGAACCGCCAACAGGCGGCCTTTTGACGCCTATTAAACTTCTCTGATAGTCCGCGGGGGAAAAACGGTGATTCACAATCCTTACCGGGAAGAGGAAGGAAGACGGGAGGGAGGAGAACGCGTCCCGTATGTGTGTACGTACGTCCGGAGCGCTCGGACGTGCGTACCTTAACCTACGAACTCGATCCGCCCGTGCCGCCTCCGTTTCGCAGAAGTGACGAGTCTGTCCGGTCAGAAGTGCGAGAGATCGACGCCGGGCGGACCAGCTCTTATCACGAGTATAACTTCTCTTTCTCTCGCTACTTTTTTCCTCTCTCCCCCCCTTCCCCCGTCCTCTCCCGATAAGCCAGCGGCAGTGGCAGGAGGGCGCGAGGAGGCAGGGGCGCGCATACCGCGAAATCGCTCGCGCGCGTGGAGTCAGGTGACTATTTTCGGTCCGCGACGGACGGATTTTTACGTAACCCGAGCGCGTAATCCCGTCGTATCGACGCGATCGATCGGCCGACCGAACCGGCGACGGTCGCCGACGACGTCGCGGAACGTCGAACGGCAGGCGCGACGGCGACCCCGACGACGTCGGCTGGCGCGCGCGGGTCAAAGAGCTCTCGCCTACCTGATGTTAAAACGCGACGAGGGTCATACACCGTCCACCATTTGCAACACAACGCCACTCGCTCGTACACACACGCTCTTCTGTCTGGGTCTCTGCCACCGCTGGCCGCACGCTCCCCTAAAATACTCCGCGGTCCGTAAACGCGCTCGTGGTGGAGACGCACCCGAGCGCGACCTGACGACGAGGGCCGGCGTTCGAAGGTTTCCCCCGCGCGGTCACGTGACGCGGAGAGGCGCGGTAATCCACAGACATCTATCGGGAAAGCTCGAAATTTGAAATCCAACCTCCAAGAAACATATCTCGTGCGCGCGATCTCCGTATTGTGTTTGTTATTGTTTTTGTTATTGTTGTTGTTAATGATACATTATTATTCTTAATGATATAATAATATTTTGTTCTTTAACATGTGGAAGGAAAGATTGGATTAGAGACGAATTATATATGTATTAATATTGCTGTAAGTGATTTTGCCAATTAATTTAATCGGAGTTTGATCGAAGTCGTCCTGTATACATCATATATTAATTGCTACAATTATTAGTTTAATTGAAACATCGTAACGAAAGGTCTGAATTTACGATCGAACGAACGATACAAAACAACAAATTAAATTTTGAGACAAGATAACTATTATTCATAATCATTGCAATTTCTTTAATAAAATTTTACTGTACATATATAACGCGGATTCTGATTTTGTTTAAAAGAGCCTCCGTTGTCACACTTAATTGTCAACGTTGAAATTGCCTCTGTGTGAATTTTTCCAAAACAAAGAAGAATGCTTCCGCGACAAGAGAACGATGTGATCGTCCACCGTGTTGTGTAATCGTAACCTGTGAATTATTTTTTTTAATTTTGTACGTTATATAATTTTGTATGTATATTTTTTGTGATAGATAAATCATCTTTTTCGAAACGAAAAAGGAAATAGTAATTTAACGTAAATTTTGAATGATGCATATGAAATTTTATTGAATATTAAACTACGTAAACGAGAAATTATGACAGTTAAGAAGAATTAATGTAACCAACATGGTCAATGTTCATAACGATACGAGCGGAACCTTCGGTAATTGTCTAAATAAAAAAAAGTTGATAAACAAATATCTTGGAAAAATAAAATTCTATACTTAACAATTGATTTTTTAAATTTTTATATGTTATGTCATATTTTTGCTTACAGAATTGTCCCCGAAAAATCAATCCGAAATGCAATTATGCAAAGTAAACGAAAGCAGACCGAACATCGCTTTAAAAAGTATCTATAAAAACCGAATTTTTCTTAATTATATATAATAGTATTGTTATCTATCATTGTATATTAATGTTATGTTGAGAGATTTCAAGCTCCTCAGCAGTACTTTCAAATTATTTTAGAATTTTTAAAAGCGTTTGAAATTTAAAATAAATATGTAATACCAGTTACAAATTTCATTTAGAGATTGGACAGGAATTGGACAAAGCGGAAACCAAGTGCTTTACGTTACAGTCGGAATTAAATTATGTGATGGATGTTTGTCGGAAGGCTCAAACAGAAACAAGAGAAAGTAAAGAAGCACCTGATATTTCGTCAATAACATCGTCATTTAAAAATCCAGGCTCGAAGTCTCCGAACGAGACTAATTGCTGTAACAGCGAAATTACGAGTGCCGATAGAATTGCAAATTTTAACATCCCACAGAGTATTCATGACGTTGAATTCAAGGCTGAAGAAAATTTTGGTAAAAAGTTTAAATTTGGTAAAAGAGATTAAAATTAGTCTTATACACATTTAAATATTCATATTTCCATAGATACTTCTAATTTGAGCCCGAAATCAGGCCGGTTTTTGCCCGGAAAAAGCATCAACGATGACGATATTATCGAGAGTCTGGAGGGAAGGCAGAAAGGAAGTTTATTGAACGTTACAATTACAAGGACTCAATTAGATAAGAAACTTCGCTCGATAACGATGCCAGCTCAGGATGAGGTCACGGAAGTAGACGTACGAGATTATATATATATACACGTTTTATAAATGTGCGTGTATTTTACGTATACATACTTCCGTACTTACGAGCTCGATAATGCAAATAGGCGGTTAGAGAATACGAAAGTTATTACTTCCCGTCGAGTATGTCCCTCGAGGGACTGACGTCGCGAGCGGACAAGGATTATCTCCGCGCAACGTCGTGCTCTGCGACGAGAGGTGCCGAGGATGTCGGAGGTATCGAAGATCCGGGATTGAATTTGGACGCGCCGAATGTCGTAAAAGCCAGACGAGCGGTGAAAAGAGATAGATCGAGAACGGGGAGAAGCGATATGAACTCCGTGTGCAGAGCGGATAACGCGGTGTCTAAAATGCGGAAGAGAAAGGCGAAGATACGGAGTTCCGTTTCCAAGAGCACGGTTACCACCAAGGACACGGGATTTATTGGCAGAAAGGAAGTGAAGAGACGTCGGCACAAAGGTGGACAATCGAGTTTACGTATATAATTCGTTTCTGCATACGTTTTTCAATTATATCGTGCTACTATCAAGGGCAGATCTCTGTTGTTTAGCGATAATTTTTTCACGCAGGCGTTGCTCATCAACCGTCCAATCCCCCAAAGCATGTGAAGAAATTCAACGATGTCGTGGAAATTTTTCATAACACTAAATTAAAGAATAACAATTCCGTAGTGCCTAGTAAGCGCTTTAAAGCGAATGAAGCTAAGTATGAAAGAAAAACGCATCTTCCTGCGACTAAGGAGAATTCAAGAAAGATCCAAGAGACATTGGCGTTGACTCCGAGAGATAGGTGTCCTGAACATATTGATCGCGAATGTCAATCTCGCAATAAGAAAAATGAAGAGGATCATTGTCTTCAGATATTAAATTATCAAAGCAACTCAAGGTAATTGTTTGCAATTGTAAAAATAGTTATTGATATCGTTACATTATCGTAATTATTCTTGATAATCGCTGAATGTAATGATCATTACTACATTTCTATTTTCTATCATTGTTAATATTAGATATTATTACTCTCAGAGTAATTGTCTGCAATTGTAAAAGTAGTAATATTGATAGTCATCGTTACATTATCGTAATTATTCTTGATAATCGCTGAGCGATCATTACTACATTTCTATCATCTATCATTGTTAATATTAGATATTACTCTCAAATTTTCATTACTACGAATTTTTTTCTGTCATAGAACGAAGCTCGAGGTCGCGCAAGAACAAAATAAATCGGAAGAGCATTCCAACGATCTCGTTCCATCTAGGGAGAATGAAACGCGACAGCGCGCCTTCAACAGATACGACGATCCGTTGTTCACGCCCAATTACGAGATGCCGACTTTGGCGTCCAAGTTAAAACGCTCGGGCAGATCGTACTTTAGTAGATTTAATTTCCGGAACATTCCATTCGTGGTGGGAACCTCGGTGACCCCGAGTTACAATCTCGGATTAAATATTCAACAAGTGAGCCAACGAAACTCAGTGAAATAAGCGGCGGATATCCAAGAGAAATGTCCTTAATTCTGAAACGCAGGTGTTGAGCGTGATGAAGACGCGGCAGCCGATCGCGAGCGACGTCACCCCGTTGTTACTCCGCAAAGTCAGCAGAGGCATGAGGCCGGTGTCGGTTCTTCTGGACCAGATAAACTACGAGGGATCGATTTCGCACGTGAGCTCGCAAATGACCGGCACGTCATTTAGCGGCGGCGAGAACCTCGGTCGGGTTAAAAGATTGCCGTTTTTCAATTTGCAACACGTAGGAAAGACGCAAAGTGGCTGTATGCCGAAGGTGTCCACCGAAGCAGGAATAATTTCTGAAAAAGAGGACAATGCTTTTAAACAGCTTCGCCCAGTGAATGATTCTTGCGATCACAAGACTAAACTGCAGTCTTCTTTCGCTGTGAGCAAAAGCAACACGCCGGCGAGTCCTAAAAATCAGGAAAAAATTTCGAGGATATTAAAGGTAAAATCTAAGGGTTTCTAATTTGTGTTAAAGCGTATTAATATCGCAGCGTGTTGATGTCGCAGGGTAATATCGGCGATAAAATACGTATGCTCGATTCGCACAATTCTAAGGAGATACGTGACGTTCTGATTAATCTTCACGATCAGTTCGAAGAGATGAACACGTGAGTGTGCTGGCGCGTTATTAAATTTCAGAGTAACTTTGACGGAGGAACTGCATCAATTATGTTTTGTTCTTTACAGAAAATATGAGAGATTGCAGTCGGAAGTGAGCAAGTCCAACGATAAATCCATGAAGAAGGAATTGTTCGCTCTGAACAAGGAGCTCAACGCCAAGGAAGAGGAAATCAACACTGTGATCGGTCTTTACAAAGAAGTGAGTGCCACTATCGAATATTCTCGTGCGTTTGAATGCATTTGGGAATGCGCACATTGTTTTCAATGACACTGCGAAAAGCAGGTAATGACGCTGAAGCAGCAGATGAAAATGCTGCACGAACGAAACAGTCTGGTTTGCATCACGACCGAGTCGGCCAAGGGAACTGGCGGCAGGGATCCCTTTTCCATGCCTGTCGTACTCGGAAAATCTCATTCGACGAATGCGACGCAGATCCTGGGTCGAAGAAAAATTTACAATGCCACACGGGAGCCGCCCGCCTCTTTGCAGCTGGCCGCGTTATTACGGCAGATACAAACTTTTCATAAGCAATTGCAGCGCGTGTCGTAACGTCGCGTCGAGTCACGTAATAAAGGAGCAAGGAAATGGAATAAAATTGGAGTTATATTTTTGTCAAAATCGCCTATACATTAATACAGCAAAATTTCATTGTTTCCGAATCGCGGAAAAGGGCGAGTGGCCATCGATTCAATTTCTTCTGCGGTGCAGGTGCAAAAGAGACGTGTTTAACGGGGAAGCGATTTGGGAAGGGTTTTTTTTCTCTTCTGGGGAAATGAAAAAGAGAACGAACGTTTTCAGCAGATCATATTCCATTTTATTCGAGTCTGCCTGCTACCCCATAATAATGTGTATTATTCGTTCGTATGCGCGTGTACGGTTTATGTAAGTTCATGTATACGCAGCGCTCCGCCTTGTGTGTGTACGAGTGTATGTGTGTACCTCTATACATATAATATATTTATATATATGTATATACAGAATCAACATGTGTGTGTATAAACGCCGAAGGTGGTTTTTTCTTAGAACTCCTGCTAGAGACGGATTCCTCGTCGTCGCGGCTCTCACGGTCGATTGTAATTGTCAGTTGTAGCTACGTACGCGACGATATCCAAGAAAAATTGATCGTTACGCTACTGATTTCTTTTTTTTTTTTGCACTTTTTTCGTTTTTTTACTGTCGTAAGATTCTAATCTCTCTAGATATGTTCGTAAATCATTTGATCTGCATGAAATATCTAGCGTTCTTCTCTTTTGTTTTTGAATACTAATTAAACGATTCGTGATCTAGCCTGTCTCTTAGGTTCGCTAAATAAAATGTTTTTTTTTTGCTTCCCTCTGTATTCTGTCTTCTTTTCTAAAGTATTCCTGCTTCTTTCTCTCTCTCTCTCTCTCTCTTTCTCTCTCCCTTTCAAAGCGTCTACACAAAATCACGCGATCTATCCTTATGCATTAAAGATACTATCCGCTACAAAATATCTTAGTTAACGTTAATATAAAATGTTATCTTAGATCTACGATAATACTAATTTGCTCTCTCTCGTTCTTACTAGTGGAGGGGCGCGGCTTAGGTGCACCCGCGAGAAATAAAAAAACATTCCTGTGGGCGTTGAATACAAAATTAATTTTCTCTCATGAACAACGCAGTCCTTTTGGCAGTACGGATGGAGGACAACACGAACGCGATCTCGTCGCGGCGAGATAAAGTGCTCCTAAATGTCGCACATTTTTGTTGCTATACGTATATCAAATGACGAAAGATTAATTAAAACGACATTACAGATGAGGCAGACTAATTAATTTCAAGGCTCGAAAGCCAATTAGCACGAAGTGACACGTCCTCTTGCTGAATTTCTCATTTCAATATTTTTCATATTTTATTTCGATCATTCGGTGCGTCAATGAAAAATCCATTTTCTCAGTTTTTCTTGTATACGATTTTAACTCTGTCTCCAACCGTTCTTTCGGAAAAGGACTCTGCTTTGTTTATGCTTGTTTATCGTCATCGCTGTAGGATCTTCTGAAGATATCGCCGACTTCAATCACCTCCTACACAGAAGGAAACAGCGAGAAAAATCATCTCCTCCCTTTCTTCCGGCCTTCTACAAAATTGTTTTCACAAAAGGAAGAAGGAAACGGAACCAAATACTCCACACACACATACTCTCCCATCTTAACGCAAATATATCTCTCATTATATCACAGACTAAAAAATGCTTTGGTCTAAAAAATTGTCTTGTTTTTTTTTGTTTCTTACTCGTTTTTTGTTAATTAGAACGCGCATTTCGCATTTATGTGTCTGCGAGCGGCTTCGCTGCCGCCGATGTATATTAATTATTTTCGAAAGTGTTAATTCTTTTTGCCTGCAAGATGCGAGATCAACGAGTTTCTTCGCCGATTTTCGTTTCCTGCTTGATACCGAAAGAGTTAAAACCACCGCGGCTTTTGTGTCTCGACTACAAATTTTGAATTTTCGATTGTGAAACGGTGACTGGATTTCGTCGCTGTGTGTCGTGGTAAAATGAGAAAAAAAAACCCCTTCGGCGCGGTTGCAACTCATCGTCAGTGAGATTCGCAAAGCATTTCTTTCGTATTAGTCGGCATGCGGTAGAACTCAAGCCATTTAGCACCCTTGACTCTCGAGATTCTACGTGAAAAAAATCGATCCAAGTGGAATTTTAAGGCGTTTTTACGATAGTAGTCCCTAGTCGGTTGTGTGTGTATACATTGCGAACGGCCTTAAAATCGTACTTGTACAAAAATATAAACGCAAAAATCAACGAGCTTCTCTTAGTGAATATTCTTTTTTTTTCTCTTTCTCTTTTAATACGTTATTAAGATCGTAACATTTTATAGTACTCTACAATATTACAACATGTGATATCTCTTACAAGGTACTTACATTACGAGTTAACCCCACAGATTCGTTCTTTACTCTTTCAGCGTTAGACTTCAATGGTTTACTTTAAGATGATAAAATAAATATCGGGTCCATTATAAATGTATCAATCATTATATGGATACCCGCTCTCTTCTATCTCTTCTCTTTCAAGTCTTATCGATAACTATCGTCAGAGAAAAATCCAACCGGCTTTACGATCAATAAAACTAAACGAAACTCTTTTCAATGAAATAAAAAATGGATCCTATTACTTCGAAAATGTAAATATTACAAAAATAAAATTATAATTATATATATTTGACCGTGAAATAAATGTGCTATCTGACACGTTTCTCGCAATCGTACAATACACGTTGTCACATGATGGAAAAATCTCGATTTGTCTTTACAATTTGAAATGACAAGTCGGGTCTTGTTCATCCGATACCTTCGTATATCGATATTCCTGCGTCAACCGCTATAAAACTTGACGATTTAAGTACAAACAAGTTTAGAAATCTTTGCAACAAATATATATATATAATATATGTATATAAAATATAAGTACATTTTTTTTATATATTTGTAACTGATCAATTTTATAAACTGTAAATATATCAAAATAAGCATCAAGCATCCAGTTTCTCGTTAACGTCAAAAGTGTATCCTAATGTTGCATATACGATGAAATGAATGGAGGACAATCAAATGGAAATCTTCCATTGCAAACGAACACGTTAAAGTATAAAGTGAACCGATGAACAAGATACACGATAATTTCATCGAACAAATACGATAAATCACACCGTAATAACCAGTTTTACGTTGTACAATTATTTTAGCGCTTAAAGAGCTCAAATGTACTACCACAATATCATGTTTTTATTCTGTAGACGTACTATTGCTCACTATAAATTGTCCGTTTATGCGTACTCTCAACATATCGATTATGTTGATCAAAAATGATGTTGTAAAAAAGACGCGTTACCTTGTACATTGAAAACATTCGGCATTATATTTCCCGAGCGTATATTTCGTAACGCAAACGGAATCCGCGATTCGAAAGAAAACCGCATAAGAGAATATACGGTACGCACGATCTCGCACGAAAGCGAAGTAAATCCTATACACTCGCAAGTATTATTCTGCTTTTTGCTCTCGAAACCTTTTGATTCTAGCCGATAGATTCTTATGTTATGTTACAATAGTGCTCTTCGCTTCAGCAGATATTGCTTCTTCAGGCCCTTTTAATCGTGACCGCGCAACGTTGGCATTGCAGACGACAATGAATGTACCTGCGTGGTACGACAACTCTGTCTTCTCAACAGACATTCAAAGGTCGCTTAAGAGCTTCAACAACAATGTTGCTTCAAATCAGTTCCTCGTTACTCGCGAATTAAATACTGCGTCAAGCCTTCTTGGCTATAAGAGCGTCGATCAGTCTCAGTTTCGCTTTCGCCTGCTTATACGATTCGTACACGGTGGTGACTTGCGGTCCACGATCCTCGCGTTGCATGCGACGGCCAGCTCGAGCTTCGAACTGCACTTCCAATTCCTTCAACGCCCTGCGAAGCCGCTTCTTCTCCTCGCGGGTAGCCCGTTGTTGCATCAATAATTCTTCCCTACAAAAAGAAGAGATGACGTTCGATGAAAGTTATCGACAAATACATTTTCAACTGAAGATTTATTCTTTTATCACTATATATAATAATTCCTAATGTTTCTATTTTCTAAATCTTTTCTAAGAGCATAAATATATGACTAAACTCATAAGTAAATAAAGATAAAAGAAAAATATGTGGCATATAATTTCATAAAATATATCTAATTTTGATCTAAACTTACTGGGGAAGAGCGTGAAGACTTTCACCGGTACCGCGACTGCCTTCGCTACTGCTATGCTGACTATCACTATCAGTTGGCAATTGATCCACGGGATCGATACAGTCTAAGATACCTCGATGTGACATGTCAGGCTCGCTGGCTCTTCTGTCAGTCTCCACAGGATTTCCCGGGAGATTCGATGATGTGAAATCCATCGTTTCGTGCTCTAGGATCGTGGCCAGTTCCGAAACGCTGTCCTTGTTTTTGCTCTACAATTGATATACAGAACATATGGTCATTTTTTTCCTCGAAAATCTATTTCAAAATTATATTTAGTCAACAACAATGAATCGTTCTCTCTTACCGCGCCTGCTCTGATGAGCAGTCTCTTTAGAGTTCTGTACCGGTCGTACAATGGTCGCACGACAGCTCTGTCTTCCTTGGAGACCGGTCTGCCGAAAGTGTTCTCGATGTGGAGCAACGCTTTCTGCACAGCAGTCTTTTCGTCCACCAATTGATCGTAATTGAGCTCCTCCATGTTATCGGACCGGTTGTACTTGATGCGCTTCTCGTTGAGTTTCTTGTCCGCTTCCTTGACCACCTCCTCTATCGGCGTCGCCCGCGATTTCTCGTGGCCATTGTTGTTATTTATGGGACTGCCGGTGGTGTTCAGTCGGTTATTAGCGTTCGCCAGAAGCGCTCCTATTGGATCTTCCTTCAGTAATTTGTGTTCCTTCCGTAGCTTATTCAGCTCCGTGCACAGCCGTTTGATGTCGCGATTGCTCATTTTGTCAGAGTGACTCGGTCGATATCCAAAGTTCTCCTCGAACTCGTCCTCGTACTTCTTGATCTTCTTCTTCAGGCCGTTAATGTGCTTCGCAAGGTTCTTCAGTCCCATTTCCGACGGGCTAAGCCCCGTCGGCTGTATCTCCTCCTCAGAGTAAAATCTCCTGGGGACCAACAGCGAGTTCCTCGGCGAGAGCATAGCTTCCACACGAGCGTCCACGGCCTCTTCCTGTTGAGATTCACATAAAGAAAAATTTTAATATTTATTTTTTGATACAAATTTTCATTTTGATCAATACAATTTTCTACATATCTTTATTTGCATAATTCTTAATTTTTGGGCTGAAGTCATATTTAATTATTTAATTTTATGCAATTATAATTTTTTAATTTTTATATGTGATTTCAAATTTTTTAATTAATCCAGATATTTACGTTTCCTTCCAAATGTTGAAAGCCCCAATTGGTCAAACTGGGATTATTTACGTCCTCATGATCGACGGTGGGTGGACGAGCTGGCGAAGGTGACCTGCTCGGTCCGCTGCTCAACATCTCCAAGAAGCTCTGAGCTGGTGAGCCATTGTGACTGTTAGGACTCGGTGATACATTGGAGATGTACATATTTTCAATCTCCTCTTCATTTTCCTGAAATTAAAGAAATAAAACTCTTTATTTCCTATTAAAAAAAATTGTGATTCGTGGCCCATTAATTAGTTTAAGAATTGCAATATTGTCGCTTCAACATTTATATCCTATTTAACCATTAAGCATGTCACACATAATTTGCAAATTTCACGATTGATAAAACCAAAATTTAATTATCAGAATGCAATTTTTAAAATGCAACTTTTACGGAATATCGGAATCTATTTTACTGAAATTAAACTTTTAATTGTGAAATTAATTTTTAAAGCCACATAGATATTATACACTTAACCCGTAAAAATGAATTAACGTTTGCCATCTCTGTGGCGAAAATATTCAAGAATTATATTTATTACCTTGCTGGAACTCTGGTCAGTATCCTGAACTCTGTGCACTCTTCTCCTACGCGCTTGTCTCCTACCTCTCGGGGTAATGCTTCTGCTGAAGCGTTCGCTGTTTCTCAATCTCTCGGCGTCGCAGTCATACTTTTCAGTCGCCACAACCACCTCGCACGGCGACGGCACCGACGACGATTTTTTCGATACTGGCGAAACGTTGGTTCTCTCGTGGAGCGGTAATCCGCCACATCTCTGCATCACATCCAATCACGAATCGATTAGTGATCAAGCTTGCGTTTTGCCTTACGCGACGAAATTAATGTTTAACTCTTAAAAACATTAATTTATTAATATATACCAAAAAATACTCTCTATTATAATAAAATAATTATGCAACTATACTTAAACTTTTGATATATTTAAGATAAAAGATTGTTTATTAATATACAATTAGTTCAATTAATTCTATTTAAAAAACGTTTCTAGAATTATATATACAAGTATATTTAGCTGTTACGAAAATGTCATATTGCCGCGATTATACTCACCACGCCGTGACCCATGTCTTGGCCGAGCTGCGATAAAATATGCAAATGTTCCTGACTATTAAAATCTTCGTGGCTGCTCACACGTCTGATCGTATCTGCGACGTCAGTGGGACTGTCGAGAACACGTTCCTCACTGTTACTCCTGAAAGGTATAGTCGTCGCATTCCATGTAGAATTCTTTTTTCAAAATCCGTCGTAATGCGTATAGTGAAGACGAACGGTGCTCGCAAATGTATTCATAAAATTCGAGTTGTACGAAAATTTAGCGAATACATAAATATTTCACATTTCTGTCCCGCGACAATTCTCGTATTATATATGCGTATATTCAATATTTATTTATAGTAAAGCCAATTTAATAACGAATAAGAGAAATCAAAACTACGAATTATTTTGACATTCAGAATAATTTGTCGGTAATCTTCTATTGCACGCGCAAAGCGCTTTCATGATTATTACACGTAATAGACCATATTACATTTTACAATTAGCACGACATAAATTACACATTAAATGTAAACAAGAAAATTATGACACACAAGGCGCGTAATTAAAATGTTTATGTAATAATTATAAATTTATTTTAGTCCATATTAATGTGCAATTCAATTCAAGATATTCGATTTGTTGAAGCATAATGATCAATTTAACGTCATCAAGATTCGCTAAGATCAAATCAAATCAGATGTAACGTTATCGAAGTGCGACATCAAAGGACTTTGTAGGATTCTTATAATATGCAAATAACATACCTTATTAACTTCCGCTCTTGGCAGCAGGATTCGCGGCGTTCCTTGCGCTTACGCGGTTTCAGCGCGCAGAGCAGGGACGAACCCTCGGAGTCCTTCGGCTCGTCTCTCGTATCCTTGCAGATCTTACAGTCGCCGGCGGGTACCAAGCCGTTCACCGTATTCTCGCGGATACTGTGGCCATACGAGGACAGAGGGAAAAAAAAGAGAAACCAGGTCAGATCGTAGAAACGAAGCGCGACGATCTTGAAGGTGTCAGCCTTCGAATTTAATCAACTGCCGTCTGAGTCAGTCGGCCGCATGCAGTAAAAGCGCAGTTTGCGAGCGCGGAATACGAGAGTGCGGAAACGAGCGAGAATATATATTGAAACGGTAAGTCGCGAAAAATGAAAAAAATGAAATCGATATTTTTCACGGCCGACGCGACATGGCGAATTGCACGCTTGCTCTCGATCGCCGGCGGTGCAGTGCCGAGTTTTTCGTACACGCGGAATATTTATAAGATCTCCGTTTCCTTTTCAGCCCGCCTAATGTCGATCGATCCATCACGTCAGATCATGGGTCGTAGACGTAGAGGATGACGGGCGATGACGGGCGCGACGAGCAACCGCTGCAGGCCCGGGAAAATGCGCAGCTAACGAGATGATCATAAAACGGGACACCGGGGAACAATGCGACGCACGTACAGTAATTAGGATAATGCGGCAGGTGAGCGCGTTTATTCTGCATTTCGATCGAACAAGAAGCAGTAGTATATAATTACAAAACGGCTGGCTCAGGTGTCGAGCTTCAATAGATAGGCGTCGTTATCGCGCTCGGTTCTCTTATCACTAACGAAATTCATAAACCGGATTCGACCGGCTGAAGCACGTTTGCGTGCGCGGCGAGGGAAAAAAATATCGGCTGTATCCCGCGTCCTTGCGAGTAGTATACCGCTGTAATAATGCGACGTAATTGCAGTCCGCGCGCGAACCGTGCGCGAAGGGTAGTTTCCTGGGGGATAATTTCCTCGCGCGAGGAGAGGGTGCGCGACTAATTGTAAGCCATTAAATCGTAATGCGCCGATAAAAATCGTAAAAATATTTATTTTCGCCTTTTCGGCTCTGGGGAATATAACGCTCTGGGTCACTGGGTCGCTTCAACGCAAATACGAGGCAACAATCGGAAAACTGCTGAAACTGAATATCTGTTATTTTGTAATAAAAATGAACGGAGTAAAATAAACTAAACACCACTCTGCAGAAGAAATCTGTCATGTTTAGGAAAAAGAATGCGCATATATAAACTCTTGCAAAAACAAATATTGAAATAAATGTTAAATGTTATAAAAAAAAGAGCCAACAATTCAGCCATGCGTGGCTGTGCGATATATATTTTCAAACTGATGAAATTGGGCAACAGTTATACAGTCATAAATATATACGGTTCTTTTTGCACGGGATAATAAAAATGACAGATTTCTTTTACAGCGTTTAAATCATTTCATTCTGTCATCTCATTGCAAAATAAACTATTTATTTTCAACAACTTTTCAATTGTCACCTTGTATAAATCGCGTAGTTTAAAAACCCTCATATTTTATTTCACAAATAATGTTATATTCAATATTATCTCCTTTATTAATTATCATGTAAAAAATCTATTTAAAAAAATAGTTTCTTTTTATGCCGATCGATGTTTTATTTAGATTTAGATTTTTTCTCATAAAAAGCAGCACGTGAATTACGTTTACCTTACTGCACTTAACTTTACGGTCTAATCCGAACACTCTTTTTCCAGATGCAATTCTCGTGTTCCGTAAAAGTTTCCGCGCGCGCAAAAAGTATTATCGCAGTCTCAGCGAAATCTCGTTACCATCCTAGGGTTACATTCGCAACTACGATTTAAATTCACGTCTCGCAAATCTAATCCTTCCACGTAATCATTTTTCCCCCTTGCAAACGTGCATAATTAAGGCTGCTCTCATTTCGATTTGCCATCACTTTCTCTCGTCGTAAACGCTAATTGACATCTGATAAAAGATGTTGAACTTTACCACGCGATAACGTTACCTCTCAATTTCGAAATAACGATTCTCTTTTCTTCCCGCGAATTCAGATTTTCTTCGTCTCTCGCGAATTCAGGTCGTCCTCGACGTCTGATTTGATCTTGTGTCGCGAGTCGCGACCTAAGTAGCGACGTATGAACGAATCGCCAGGCGATAAATACTTTCATTGTGACTCATCAAATCGCGCGGTAGCTTCTTCGTGCAGAAATGAAGCTTGTATTGCGGAAATAAAGAATGACGTAACGATATACGTCTCAATTTTCGTCGATTTTTTTGACAGCAAAAGTATTGAAATATGATATGACGGAAACGAGAACTGAGATTTAATCAGTCACAAATTTTTCCATATCATTCTTAAACAATCTCTTTTATTTTTACGTTCATTCTAATAATTCAAGAAATAATAATTCATAAAAAAAATGTCTATTAATTTCTTAATAGGTCGACTAAATCAGCGTTCCAAAATGATAAAAATTAAAAATAAATTTAAATGAATTTATGTTTAAAATAAAAATTATAAATAATATACTACAGTTTATATAGATATCAAAAGTGCAATGTCATAATTTAAAATATTGCCTAAACAATATAAGACGCGCGCACGCGCAATTGCAGCTTTTATAATTTTAATATCCAATTAAAAACTGTTAATTCTGCTATTAAATTATGCAAATAAATTCTTTTGCGTTTCGAAGAACAATCGTCTTCAAAGAAAAACACTTGTTCGATATGCTTAGAAATATTCAAGGCAATATTTATAGAAACGCTCAAATGTCACGATAAAATCTATTATAAAGTATACACAATGACCAACAGGAAAAGGAAATCCTAATCAGACATCGCTCAGACTCAATTAAAATCTCGAGATGAGACCGGCATCGCAGCTGCATTACAATTCTAAATATAACTTCCTCGCGTGCACATATATTATTTGTGTATCTATCAAGGGTTGGGGAAATTCCGACGGTGTGGTATTTTTGGGTCGCTACATCGCGCTTTCGGTGGTCACAGGTCGGAAAGTTCGTATCGCACAGGAGTATCAACACAACCGCGAGCCAATTACGCCGTCATTCGTGCCGGCATAACGCGCCATTAATTGCTGAGCGATCAATTCTTAATGAAACGAGCGTCAATTTAGCGATGGTACTTCGCGAACGTTGCAATGCTGTTACTTTGACACAAATACACAGAAATATTTACAATACGTCGTTGCAAAATGGTAGCAATCTTATATAAGAGACGATTTATGAATTTGTAAAAAATTATAAATATTACTCGAATTAACTGACATTGAGAAATTGGCTGATATTATTTGAATTAGTTGATGCAGAATACCGCACTTTTAATGTAGATTGTTGAAAATATAAAAGTTAATTACTTTGTTATCATAGCATTCTTGGTGACAGCATCCGCGCGAGAAATTCCACTTTTCATTTCGTGTTCCCGATTAGCTTCTCGATTCCTCCGGCCACGACGAAACAGATTCTTTGCTTTCCTTCAAATCGGACACACGCGACTGATCGATAGATAATCGCGCGCGATGTTCTTCCAATCGTGGAGATCGACAAATGGATAGGAAAGTATAAGAAGTACGTGACAAAACAGCTAGCGCGCGCCCCGCTTGCGAAGAAACGCTTATTGAGGGACAATCGAGGTGACGCGATGATGATGATGAACGTGATGCTGATGATGCATCGTCACGTGAATAGATCTAATAAATTGGCGGACCGGGCTCGCACGAGACATAATTCGATTAATTCGCCGGCGGGCGGCTGTAGAGACTCGCGCGCCTATAAACTTTGTTCTGCGTAGATTAATGTCAATTAACATAAACGGGGGCTCGTGACAGTCGTTTACTGTGGATCACCATATCTTCTAGAAAGATTTCCATGCGATTTGTTTACCTCTAGAAAAGAATCCAGATCTGTGCATCTGTACATCGTAAACATCTACGATATTCACTGAAATCTCTTTCATATTATAGATATCGAAAAATCAAGTAACTGAAATAATTGAATTTACAAAAACTATAGGAAAATATAAAAATTTATATCACATTTTTTTAACTTAATAGTCTTAATATATGTTAATAATGCATTGATTTTTTCTCAATGTATTTTCATTGTTTCATCAAGATTAAGACAATCGAACAGCTCAGACTTTCGAAACTCGCGGATGTCACTTTTAAAAATAAGAAGTCACTTCTCTCATGTCAACGATTATTACCGTGTAGCTGCGATTGCGTAAGGAATCTCCCGGCGTGAGCGACATCAAGGTGCATAATAAGCGACGCGCGAGCGTTATCCAATCCGGTGCAATTCCGCGCGGTACTTGCACTTGTGCCACGGTTAATAAATTTCGATTAAGGGCGACGTGGAAATCTACTCTTCGCCGAGCGCTCCGGCGCGCCTCTAACAAGGCCTCAGCTCTTTCACGAATTACCATGGATTTACGGCGCCGTTCGGCGAGCATCGGCGAGACGATGTACCGCGCGATCGAACGCCTTCTAATGCACCGTGATGCGAACGGGAGATGCGGAACGTGCTCTTGCGATTTGCCGACATTATAGCGAATGAAATTAAATTATTTGAGGAATTTCAGGATCTTAAAGACTCCTGAAATTCCTGAAATGTTTTGGTTTTACTAGCTACATTCAAATTCTTTGCGATACAATTACATAAAAATTAGCTTCGAAACGACTGAATCTAAAATTTGATAGAGAAAGTCGCATGGAAACAAGCATGGCATAAAATCATCAGAATATAGAGTTTTAACATAGAAAATAAAATAATAAAATCAAGGTATAGTTTACAGGTAAAGTTAAGAACCATGATATTTACGTCGTTCTTACAAATAAAACTAGATTAGTAATTTTACATCCATGTCCAATGTATAGAGCGTAAAAGTCGATCGAAACCTCAATATAAAATATATAAAAACTGTTTTTAACGGTGTTAAACTAAACGGTGTCTAAATATTTTATTATCATTCATGTTACCGTCTGTTATCCTCTCTCTCCTTTTAAGTGTTATCGAATTGCTTTCTGCAATTCGTATTCTGCTGCGCCGTTTAGTATGCGCGATAAGTTGCATTATTTTACGTTAACGGTATTCCGTCGAGTGTGTTC